CCAAGGATGTCGAGCATGAAAACGAGCAAACCGCATGAGACATCCGCGCAGTGTGGCCGCGAACGGGCCTGTGAAAACACCCCTGGCGGCTCCCCTTAGGGGTGCTGAAACCAGCGTCCCGCCTGAGACATCCTCAGGATCTGCTCTGAAAGCCAAGGATTGTGAGCATTCAAAATCTGCTCTGAAAGCCAAACATGTTGGGCATGAACACGAGCAAACCGCCTGAGACATCCCCACAAACTGGCCGCGAACGGGCTCGTGCAAACACCCCTGGCTGCTCCCCATAGGGGTGCTGAAACCATCTGTAACCAGCGCCCCGCCTGAGACATCCTCCAAATCTGATGTGTGTGGAGTAAGTTGGAGTAAGAGAAGGTCTGAATATGCGTAGGTCTGGGTATGAGTAAGTATGTGTATGAGTACGTCTGGGTATGCATGAGTCTAAGTATGAGTAAGTCTGTGTATGAGAAAGTCTGTGTATGAGTAAGTCTGGGTAGGAGTAAGTCTGAGTATGAGTGAGTCCGAGCAGGAGGAGACGAGAAGAGGAGGGGACGAGAAGAGGAAGGAGGAGGAGGAGTAGGAGGCGCCCACGTAATAGCAATAACCCCATCTTAGGATGGCGAGACTGAGTATGAGCAAGTCTGAGTATGACTTGGTCTGAATAAAAAATGAAAATGATCATGATACGGTCTGAGTATGAATAAGTCTGAGTATGACTAGGTCTGAGCATGAATACGTCTGAGTAAGAGTAAGTCTGTGCATGAGTAAGTTTGAGGAGGAAGAGAGGAAGGAGGAGGAGGGAGGAGAGGAGGGGTTCTGGCTCAGCTGGCTCTGGTTGGCGTCGGCGCCGTCCAAGTAATAACAAGAACCCCATCTTAGGATATGGGGAAAAAGCTGGTGGGCCGAAGCAGGCAAACCGCCTGAGACATCCCTGCAATCTGGGCGCGAGTCTGGGAGCGTCCCGGGCCACCCCCAAAACATCGGAGGGGCAGAAGCAAGCAAACCGCTTGGACCTCCCCCCCCGAATCTGAGGGCGACTCACGGAGTGTCCCCCCCTGGCGGTTCCCCCTTGGGGTGCCCAAGTGCCACGCGGGCTATATCGCGGTGAGCAGTTGAACATCGGAAACGACTGAGTGAACCAAAATGAGGAATCGTGCGTCGAAGCGAGAGAATCTCAACGTGTATGAATGAAACTGCGTCTGAAGCTAGTTCCTATAATGGGTCAGAATGACCCTGGCTCTGAGTGAATCTAAATGAAGAATAGGTGTGGCTGAGTCTGCGCGAAGAAGAGGTAGCCTGTGATGGACCCAGTGAAGAAGAGTGGGTCTGTGATGGACTTCGTGATGGGCGTGAATGATCTGAATGTGAACACCTGAATGATATGAAAGAAAAAAATCGGAAGAGAAGGAGGAGACTCCGAGGCACCCAAGGAATCACTCGACGCGGAGGTCACCGCAGGTGCAATTCATACTTCTGTCGCGTCTTGCTGAGGAACTCTGTCTATGAGTATTTCGGTGTGAAGGCGAGCCTGCGTAGACGACAAACGCAGCAATGACGGCGACAACGACGACTTTGTAAACATTCTCCTCCTCTTGGCATCTTTCCGGAGAGACGAGGGAAACACAATTGGAAGGCGGAGGGGGACTTCCTCCTGCCGCTCTCCCCATGGCATTGCTACGCACACTCTCTGGTGTGCTACTCGCGGCGCCTACGGGCATTTGGAGTGTCAAAATGCCACGCCGGCCATGTCTCGGCAACCACTTGTGTGTGAGCTCTAGCGCGAGTGAATCTGGGCGTGGGCGATCGGAGTGTTAGCGAGTCGGACTGTGAGTTACAAATCTAAATGCGAGTGAGCTTGAGGGCGAGATTGTCTGAGTATGAATGACGATGGAAGTAATTGAGTCTGAGTGTGAGTGAGTATGAGTGTGAGTTGGTCTGGGTGAGTGAGTCTGAGTTTGACTGAATCTCGGAGTGTGAGCGAGGAAATATGAGTGAGTCCGAGTATGCTTTAATATGAACGCTATTACGTAATGGGTGAGTCTGAATGTGATAAGCGAGTCTGGGTGAGGACGAGGTGCTTACGAGCAAGTCCACTTGCGAATGAATGCGTCTGAATGGGGAAATGGGAAGGAGGTGAATGAGTTAGCGAATGAAGAGCACAAACATCCAAAAAGAAGTCTGCCGGGTAGAAAGTGGCAAACCGCTGGAGACATCCACCCGATCTGGCCGCAAGTCCTGGAGTGTCCCCGCCCATGGCGGCTCCCCTTTGGGGTCGCCAATTTGAAACGCCTGCTATACCGCGATGAGCATTGGCCCGCACAAAGAAATCCGCTTTCGGGGCAGAGGCAAGCAAACCGCCTGAGACATCCCGACAATCTGGGCGCGCATGCTGGAGTGCACCAGCACAGGAGATTTGTCCCGGGGGGTATAGCTACGCATACCGCCTGACGCATCACCCCCAATCTGGGTGCGAGCCCTGGAGTGTCCCCACCCCCTGGAGGCTCCTCCCTGGGGTGCCCAAGTGCCGCGCGGGCTATCTCGCAGTGAACCCTTGGACCACCAGGAGAAAAAGGAAAAAACAACAAAAACCAAGCTGGGGGGGGGGGCAGGCGCAGGCGAACCGCCTGAGACATCCCTACATGAAGGGGCCCTGGGACACACAAGTATATACACACCAATAACAGGATTCCCTATATTTTCATGTATTTTCTGGGTTTTTGTCTTCCCCACCACTTCCCATAGTTTCCCATATTTTCTTGGGAGTCGACGATTCATTGTGTCTGTGTGTGCTTCCCCTCCTGACTATAATCTGGGCGCGAGTTCTTTGTGTTTTATTTTGTGGGGGGGGGAGTGTCTCCACCCCTGGCGGCTCCCCCTGCCCCAATGCCACGCCTGCTACATCGCGGTGAGCATTGGACCACCAGAAGAGGCAAGTCTGGACCAGAAGAGGCAAGTCTGGCGGGCAGAAACGAGCACACCGCTTGGGTCATCCCCCGATGTGACTGCGACTCCTGGAATGTCTCCACCCCCGGCGGCCCCCCCTCGGCGTGCCCAAATGCCACGCCTACGAAACCGCGGTGAGCATTGGACGACCCAAGTAAAACAAAAACATCTGGGGAGCAGTAACTCGCAACACGCCTGAGCCATCTCCCAAATCTGAGCGCAACTCCTGGAGTGTCCCCACCCCTGGCGGCTGCCCCTTGGGGTGCCCAAGTGCCACGCCTGCTATATCGCGGTGAGCAGTGGACGACCGGAAAAGTTTGAGCGTGTCTGGGTGAGGAAGAGCTTGTCGGAGTGATAGACCGAATGAGTAAGGGTGAGAATGCGTCTGAGGCTAATCCCACCAGCCCTCTGGGCTTAGGTGGTATGACGCGTTTGTTTTCTTCTCTCTACCCCTCCCCGTACCCCGTCCCCTGGGCCTGGGAGGGGGGGGGACGGAGGCGCCGCAGCGTCCAAGATGGCCCAAGAAGGCTCCAAGAGGGCTTCACAGTCGCAAGATGGCCTCCAAAATGGCCCATGCTACTTCAAGATGGGTCAAGATAGCCTCCGACATACCCCCAAGAGGCCCCAAGACAGCCCCAAGACGCATCCAAGTGCCCTCCGAGCCCTCCACGGCGCCCTCCAAGATGCCAAAACCCTTCAAAAGCCTATGGAAAATCAATGTTTTTGGCATTATCGCCTTGTCGCTTCCGATGGGCTTTGGAAGCCTCAAGATGGCACCAAGATGGCCAAGGCCGAAGACGGCCCCAAGATCGCCCAAGAGGCGCCCAAGAGCGCTCCAAGAGGGCCCCGAGATGCCGTTTGAGAGCCTCCGAGGGGGCGATGCTAATTGAGGGACCTCCTCTTTTTGAGCCATGGGGCCCAAGATGACCCCAAGAGGCCTCCCAGCCTCTCCCCAAAGACCCTCCACCCCGCCCTGTTTGGCCCAATATGGCTCCAAGAGGGCCCTAGATAGGCATATATGGTTTTCAAAATGGCCTAAGATAGCCAAGCATGGCTCAAGATAGCCTCCGACAGACCTCCAAGAGGCCTCAAGGCAGCCTCAAGATGGCCCAAGATAGCCGAGCATGGCTCAAGATAGCCTCCGACAGCCACTAGCCGAGCATGGCTCAAGATAGCCTCCAAGAGGCCTCAAAAAACCTGGCAATCAATTATGGATGGGCTGATGGGGATACGCGAAGCGTCAAGAATTCCCTGTGCGGGTCTGAGTGGGTCTGAGTAGGTCTGAGTCTGAGCGAGTCTGAGTGAGGAAGTGATGCGGCTGAGCCTGCGTGAGGAAGGGTCAGTCGGTGATGCACCCGTGAAGAAGAGTGTGTCTGTGATGGACAGCGCGATGGGTATGAGTAATTTGAATCTGAATACCCGGGTGGCATGAGAGTGAAGACGAGGCAGAAGCGGCGGCAGCGGCGAACATCAAATGGTCCAGCGTCAGAGGTCGGCAAAGTACCAGCGACCGATGGGCGGAGTGGGAGCGATGTGTCCCCGCAGATGTGAAACAAGCCATCCTTCGTGGCTCCCTCTCCAAGACTCATGGCTGGAGCAGGCGGAGAATAATCAGCAAATGCGAGATGCATGCAACATGCCCGAGGCGCCGTGCACAATGCCACTCACCGACCTATACAAAGGCGTCGGGTCTGCACCCGACGGTTTGTCTTGCAGGGGGGGGCTGGGTGCAGATAGCGGCTGACCCCTCGGCCAGGTGGGCGTATCCTCGATCTTATCTGTAGGCGGCCGTGCCTCTGACGCGGTAGCCCGCGAATCATACAGATAGGCACCTGTGCATTCTGGTGCCGTCAAGTGTGGAAACATAAAAGGCGCAAATAGACAGCGGCTACACAACGACTCCTTGGGGCTGGCCTAAACGCGTCCGCTCTCGCGTCCGCCGCCCCGAGATCATCACTGCCGCAGCGCGTCATCATCATCGTGGTCATCAGGCTGCCGAGCGAGGCCCCAGGGCATGACATCCAGCGCCAATGCCTGGAACCGCCGCGTGGGCGCAGGGCTCACTGCGTCGGCAGACGCCTCTTGCAGGGAGAATCCGAGGGAACCCGCGCGTGAGGTGTGTCTGGTATTCTGCCGTAGAACCAGGCGGGGGGGAACCTGTCGTAGGTTCCGATGCCCACCGCCCTCGGCGTCTAATCCAGACTTCGTAATAGAAGGGAAGGGGTCTGGACCCTCCAAGACAAGCCATTTCAGACCTCCCCCGTGGGAGAACCCTCCAAAACATCGTCCCCAGACCCCCCAGGCCCTCCAAGATAGCCTGGAAGAGACCCCCCCGAAATGAGACCCCCCTCCCTTTATTACAAAATCTGGAGTACCCCTTCCTGCTGCGGCTTGTTCCCCATCGCTCGCCTTGTCGGCGCGCGCAGGGGAGGCCGGGGCGCGGGGGGGGCGGCCTTCTACGCAGGCAGGGGCACTCTCGCCAGGGCTCGGGGGCGTCCACGATGGCCTCCCAACAGGCAGGAGGGCCCTCGCGAAGGCCCCTCGCCTCCACACGTGAACGCCACCCCCCTCGCGCCGCCAGTCGCCGCTGCTCGTCTCGGCTCCAGCCGCCCCGAACGGCTCACCAGGGGGAGAGGGGGGGGGGGGGGCACTCCCAGGGCGGCGGACGTGCGAGCCCACGGAACCTGGCCTCGAAGAGCATGCCGCCCTGCTCCCTCGCGACGCCCTCGAGGCCCCAAGAGGCGGCGGCGCCGTGCGGCACCGTGCCCTCGAACACCGGCAGGAGAGAGAAGGACCGCCTGAAGGGCGACGTTGGGGGTGGACGGGCTCAGAGGGGAGACCATCGACCTGGAATCGGCGGTATAGCGCCGACGGATCGGCGATGGGCCCCCGATAGCAAAGATCGGGCCCCTATCGGCGATGAGTGGGGCAGAACGCCACGGCCTCGAAGAGAGTATGCGTGTGCCGAAGCGCCGCTGGCGCCGAGACGCAACCGGCAGAAGAATCCGCTGTTTGAGCTCCGTGGGGGGGGTCGATGCATCCCCCACCCCGACGTTGCCCCTGGCTGGCCGCCTCTTCATCTTCTCCAGCGCGTCCCGCAACGCCGCCGCCGCGGCCTCCTGCAGCGCCTGCAGGGCCAGCAGCCGGTCCGCCTCCTCCTCTGGCACGTGGCCGTCGGTCACGGCCGCCACGTAGGCGGGGTTGTCCTGGAGGGGCCACAGGTCGGCAGCGCCCCGAGGGGAGAGTGAGAGGGGCCTGACCTCCTCAGAAGGCGGCGGGGCTTTGGAGTAGCCTCGCGCCTCCTGAGACGCCCTCTGGATCTCGAGCGAAAGCTCAGGAAGCTTCCTGGACGTCCAGGGTCCCCCTGGGCCTTCAGGTGAGGCGGCCCGCCCCCTCTGCCTCCCGCCGTTGGCGCGCCGCCGAGCAGGGGCACGCAAGAGGACGGCAGGCAGGGCAGGCACGAAGGTGCACGAAGGTCCGCGTCACGGGGCCACGCGTCCCCTGGAGAGGAAGCTTCTCCCCTCCCCGTTCCCACCTGGAGAAAGTAATAATAAGGATGATGCGAATAACAACGTTGACACATATATATACACATACATATAACATGTATATATGCATATATATATATATATATATATATACATATATATATATACAAGACTGCATTGGCGCTTCGCGCCATGCGCCTTGTTCCAGACGCTTCCCTGGCAAAGCAATAAATCATCGCTTTCTTCAGCAGGGAGGACCTCGAGGCCTGGACGGGCGACCCGCCCATTTTTCCGATATCCCGGGTGCCTGCTGACACCGCTTTCGGACGATGCGCTGGCACGCTTGTGCGCAGGAGTGAGGGAATCATGCTGATTTGTCGCGCGCGAAGGTCCTTTGAGGAAGTAAGGAGCGTTCCCATGACACGCCGAAGAAGTCACAGTAGCTCCGAACACATCGATGTTTGATCGCTTCCCGAATGCCTGGAGGGCTCCAGGCATTTAGGAAATCTTCGACCGTCGAGTTTCGAATCTAGATCCACTGCCTGTCTCTCTCGATCGGGGAGCTACTGAAACCTCGAGCCTCAAGCGTGGAACCAAGATCGTCGGGTCAGCTTGATGTATTTCGTAGGAGAACGCCGTCTGGTCGTTTTTGGTGCTCTTTTGTGCCGTCCTGGGGCACTCTTGGGCCGTCCTGGGGGCTTCTTGGGCCGCCTTGGGGAGCTGGGGCCCTCCAGAGGTCTTCTGAAGCCATCTAAGCCCCTCTTGCGGGCCTCCAGTGGCGTTCTTGGAGGTATCCCATGGTTTTCGTGGGTCTCTCTTGGGAGCCTTCTGGGGGCATCTTGGGCTTCTTGTGGGCAGTCTCGGGGCTCTCTGGGGCAATCTTGGGGCCCCCTTGAGCCGCCTTCAACAACTCTAGGGGGGCCTCCCGGGCCGTCATGGGGCGAGATTTGGGGCCCATTGGGCCGTCTTGGACGCTGCGAAGACCCAAAAAGCGGATATGCACAACAGATGTATTTCCTGAGGGAATGTGACGATATGAACTTCTTCGGGGCTCTCTTAACGGCCTCTTGGGGTGTCTTTGGGGCCTCTTGGGACGTCTTCAGACTTTCGAGGTTCCTCTTGGAGCGCTCTTGCGCTGTCTTGGGTCTCTCTTGCGCCTCTCCGACGACCCCTCTAATCGCCTTCAGTCGGCTCGCAAGGCCCAGCGAGGCGCCCTGGGAGGCCCGGAAGGGCCAACGAACCTTTTCCAAGGGCGTCCAGGGGGCCGCCGAAACGCCCGAAAGGGCGTCCGGAGCGTCCCTGGGGGAAGGATCCGGTTTAGGGCGGGGGGTCCAGGGGTGGGGTGTGGGGGGGGTCCGGGTAATAAAAATATGAATATATACAAGACTGCATTGGCGCTTCGCGCCATGCGCCTTGTTCCAGACGCTTCCCTGGCAAAGCAATAAATCATCGCTTTCTTCAGCAGGGAGGACCTCGAGGCCTGGACGGGCGACCCGCCCATTTTTCCGATATCCCGGGTGCCTGCTGACACCGCTTTCGGACGATGCGCTGGCACGCTTGTGCGCAGGAGTGGGAAGATCATGCTGATTTGTCGCGCGCGAAGGTCCTTTGAGGAAGTAAGGAGCGTTCCCATGACACGCCGAAGAAGTCACAGTAGCTCCGAACACATCGATGTTTGATCGCTTCCCGAATGCCTGGAGGGCTCCAGGCATTCAGGAAATCTTCGATCGTCGAATTTCGAATCTAGATCCACTGCCTGTCTCTCTCGATCGGGGAGCTACTGAAACCTCGAGCCTCAAGCGTGGAGCCAAGATCGTCGGGTCAGCTTGATGTATTTCGTAGGAGAACGCCGTCTGGTCGTTTTTGGTGCTCTTTTGTGCCGTCCTGGGGCACTCTTGGGCCGTCCTGGGGGCTTCTTGGGCCGCCTTGGGGAGCTGGGGCCCTCCGGAGGTCTTCTGAAGCCATCTAGGCCCCTCTTGCGGGCCTCCAGTGGCGTTCTTGGAGGTATCCCATGGCTTTCGTGGGTCTCTCTTGGGAGCCTTCTGGGGGCATCTTGGGCTTCTTGTGGGCAGTCTCGGGGCTCTCTAGGGCAGTCTTGGGGCCCCCTTGGGCCGCCTTCAAACCCTCCAGGGGGCCTCCCGGGCCGTCTTGGGGCGAGATTGGGGGCGCCCATTGGGCCGTCTTGGACGCTGCGAAGACCCAAAAAGCGGATATGCACAACAGATGTATTTCCTCAGGGAATGTGACGATTTTGGCTTCTTCGGAGCTCTCTTAACGGCCTCTTGGGGTGTCTTCGGGGCCTCTTGGGCCGTCTTCAGACTTTCGAGGTTCCTCTTGGAGCGCTCTTGTGCTGTCTTGGGTCTCTCTTGCGCCTCTCCGACGACCCCTCTAATCGCCTTCAGTCGGCTCGCAAGGCCCAGCGAGGCGCCCCGGGAGGCCCGGAAGGGCCACCGAACCTTTTCCAAGGGCGTCCAGGGGGCCGCCGAGACGTCCGAAAGGGCGTCCGGAGCGTCCCTGGGAGGAGGATCCGGTTTAGGGGGGGGGGTCCGGGGGGGAGGGTGGGGGGGGGGGTCCAAGTCATAAAAATATAAGACTAGGAATAGTTAGTTATAAAAATGCACTACCACCACCACCAGCGCGACGAGCTCGGGGAGTGTCCTCCTGGTGGTGTGGTCCCCCGCTCTCGCTCCAGACACCTCCCATCTCCAGCTCGGGGAGGCATCGTGGACCCCCCCGCTGGAGGTGGCCCCGCTGGCCGCGGTCGCCTCTCCTTCCTCCGACCTCGATGGGGTGCACACCCCCACCGCCCCAGGCCCAGGCCCAGCACTGGAGGGGGGGAGCACGCGTTGCGACCCCTGCACGCCCATCGATTGATCCCCCCACCCCCCACCCCTCTTTCGAGAGAGCGGCCCTCACGCCAGCTGGCCGAAGCCAGAAGCACCCTACCTGTCTCGGCTGCCCTGCCCGGTGCCTGCTGATGCCTCTTCTGCTGCCGCTCGAGTCCTTGACGTTGCGGGCGTACAGAGGCACAGCCGCGTAGTCCGCGCCGATGCTTTTCGTGATCGCCATCGAATGAATGACCCACTCCAGGCCGAACTTGACGCCGTGAAATACGTCCTTGGCGGCGCGCCAGGGGTGTGCGGCGAGTTGGGGGGGCCGAGGGGGCAGGGAGGCCTCTGGGTAAGGACCGGCGTCTTTTTCAAGGATTGTAGGATGGTCTTTTGAGGCCATCCTACAATGCTCTACTTCAGACGGAGGAGGTGGATGAGGAGGAGGAGGGCGACTAAATGGGAAGGGGAGCCGTACCCCTTTCAACGGGGCCCGAAGGAGGATGGAGGAGGAAGTGGAGGAGGAGGAGGAGGAGGAGGAGGAGGAGGAGGAAGAGGAGGGTGAAGCCATTAGCCGAGGAGGGGCTGGGCCGTCGTCGCCTTGTCGGTCGCCCCAGTCGGCCTGGGCTCGCGTGCAGCGCGCCGTAGGCGCCGCAGCCGCGGCGGCGCGAGCCGCCACGCCCCGAGGGGGCGAACCCGCGTGGCATCGCCGCGCCCGTCAAGTCAGCAGCCAAGGTCGTCTTCTGGTCCGACTGGCAGCGGCAGCCAATAGACTCAGCCAGCACCACAATGCGCAGTAGCCCCAGCGCAGCAGCCCCAGCGCAGCAGCCCCAGCAACCCCAGCGCCACGATGGTTTCCAAATGTCAAGGTAAGAGTGGCACCAGCACGGGGGGGCAGGCGCCAAGGTGGACAGCACATCGTGCCGAAGGGTCCACGGCGATAGCCCCCCCCCCCCGTGGGAGGACAACCTTGGCCACGGAGAAGTTCCTCGAGTGCGAGAAGCAGGTACAACGACAACACGACAACTACTACCAGGACAACTACTACAGTCGCCAGGACAAGAAAGATTCAGCGAAACGTTCAGCTTCAAGAAGGGCCAGGTCTGCATCGAGAGGACGCCAAGCCAACAGCAGAAGCAGCCAACAAGACACCGCGCAGGCAATCCAGATGCAAGACTTCGCTTGCACGAAGAAGCAGCAGACATCATCGACGAGATCATCCCGAGCACGGAGGCGAGGGCGGTCAACCACGAGGCCTTCTCCTACCCCCCTCACGAGTCGGAGCTACGCCGCATGTGGAAGCATACCAAGGCGGCTCGACTCGGGAGGCTCGCTGATCAGCTCGCTGGCGCCCGACAAGCAAGAGTGGACGCAGGACGACTGATCGACGAATTGGAAATCACAAACTATATGACCAACCTGACCATCGAGTCGACGAAGAGGGTCAATATCTACAGAGAGGACCTCGACATGGTCAACAAGAAGAGGACAGCGATCGCATAAAAAAGTCGAATAATGGAAAGACCAACTAGAGAAGTCCGACGTGGATGCCGTCGAGATCAATGCTCTGATCACGGAAGCAAAAGGTCAGCGAGGCATTCACGAACGATTAGAAGCAGGAGCCGAAAACTCAAGCTGCGAAGGAGACGGAGAAGCTACATCGGACGAAAGCAGGGGCGACAGGAGGATTCGCGATAAGACGCCACACCCACGTCGGCAAGGTCAGAAAGCATAACAATGCCAAGCGGACGAAGGACAACATGGTAACAAAGTTGATCGAGGAAATGAACAAGCGTCTGGACGTGCAGCAGAAAGAGTGCATCCAGCACCAGCGCTTCCTCCATTTCTTCCACAGCGAGCGCAATGCCAACACCCAGAAGGACAAGCAGCGAACCCACAAAGATGACGAAGAGGTCCAGGCCATGGAACATGAGTACAGGGAGCTGAAGATGGAGATGGCCGCAAGGAATCTCGACAGCACAATGAATAGCATACAACACGAAAAGAAGCGTGCAGACATGGCCTGGAAGCTACAGAATGAATATGCGGAGAAGCTTGAGAAACAACAAAGACTATTCAGAGAGGAACATGAGCACCACAAGGAAAAGCTGCAGGAGGAGGCGCTTATCCACTTCGGGAAGATGCAGCCCAAGATGACCAGGGGGCACGACATGAAGGGGAAGGAAATCCAAGCAAGACGCGAAGACAGGTTCAGGTTCAACGAGCCCTTCATCAGAAGCACGAACAGATACAACTCGAAGCACATCAACTACGTCGACATATTGTCCTAGCAGAAGACCGCATCAACCACGAGAAGATCAATGTTCAAGGCGCCCAGACCGAAACGCGGGAGCCAATCCACAAGATGGCAACATATGAACGCATACTACAACATGAGAACGAGAGAGCACACCACCAGGTACAGGCGTGGCTAAGACATGAGCAGATTACGTGACAGGTGATGGTACGAAAGCCGCAGCAATACGCCAACAACGAGGAACACGCTGCGAAGAGAAACTATGACGAGCACGGAGAACAGCGCAGATATTACCACGAACGCATACAGCAAGAAACACTACAGTACGAACAACGACAGCAACCTCAAGCACGCGAGCTCAGGATGCGCTCTCACGCAGAACGACGCCACAACAAGTCATCATGACGGAGGGAAGTGCGCAACACGATTGCCAACGCCGAGTTCTCGAACAGGTGCTAAAGAAGGAGCTGATCAAGAACGAGGAGATGGAAGCGGATATCATCGGCGAAATGTAGCTCGATATTGGCAGGGACATAGAAGAAGAAACGAAGGCAATGCCTGGACAATATCGAGCAGCAGAAAATGGGCGATGAGATGGAGAGCGCGCTGCATTTCATTATACCATGCGAGTACGCCCAGTACCGCTCCGACATCAGCCCGCGCAGAGAGGAGTGGCAGAGCAACGTCGACAGCGAGGGCAAGAACGCAGGGACAACGAGCAGCACGCCAGACAATGTTGGAAGAAGCACCACCACTTCCACCACCAGACGACCAAGCAACATCCGAATCACTTATCAGTCTCGACGTGCCACGCACGAACGACAGTCAGAAGACGCCCATACCACATCTCGACCACTACGACGATCTTCGGGACCACATTGACGACGCCGAAACGATGCTGACCACGACGCCACCAGTAAGCCCGACACCACTTGCCGAACAACCAACCCCAGACTACGACCCAAGGAAGTACATCTTCCCACCAGTGCGGGCACTTTCAGCACAACCCGACATCAACGAGGACGACACCTACTCGAATCGACGACCCACCACTACCATATTGACTCACATTAGCCGAGACGAAGAGTGTGAGACACCAGCAACACCACGACGGATGACCATCGATAGTATCACGCCTACAGTTCCCATCCAACATACTTAGCATCCACCCCGCTTCCGCCTCGGAACACCTGACCGAGCTCAGTCAGCACCGCCTACAAGAGCCAAGTCAGCTCTCAGGAGTAATACCTCGCGAGAACGACCAACGCGCAAGGTGCGCATGCACGACGCAGGAGATGGATTCACCTGCCCAACAGACCGAATGCCGATCCCACTTGACAACCATGATGGGTCAGACGACCCCACCTCGACAAACAACTGACTAAGACTGAACCCGGCGGGGGGCTGCTGGCCCAGACGGGGAATCCGACTATGACACCGGCAAGCAGAGCCTGCGGTCACATCCAGATCGCAGGGAACACGCCCGAGAGCAATCTCGGCACTAGCACTCAGCCTGAAGGCCAATGCCGACCGACCCGTGCGGTGACAGCAGACAGCCCGAAGGCCCCGCCACATTCGCCACTGCGGAGAAATAGCGGCCGGGACCACACTGAGGTGCATGCCTTGGGAGATAGCTCGTCTCATTTCCCCGACTTCGACACGGCCAAATCGGCAAACCAATAGCACATGCGCGAACCAAAAAAACAAAACCATAAAACGCACAGCGGAGCTACGCCCGACTTTCGAAAACAGGGAAATCTACTTGCGTGGCCACCTCGACCGCGGGCCAGGCAATGCGACTCCAGGACGCGGGCCAGCCGACCCCACAACAACCAACCAAAGAAACAACGCTGGATCTTGGACCATCCCCGAGACCAGCACTGCAACGCCACTACTTAAGACAATACGATTCATTAGCTCAGCACCACCGAGGCGGGAGCCAACGAGACCAATGGCGCACAGTCAACCATGACCTGACCGGCCTCCTGCACATAGCATACACAAGGCGACAAGCTACTGTGAGAGACGCCACAATTCTGGAATTTACCAGCAAGAGGGCTACTACGTGCTCTTCATTGGAGTGGGTTCGACAACATTGAGGAGACGTTCTTCAATGACTTGCACAACGACAGGATATATTGCAACGACTGCGATGACGAGGAGGGCAGCCACGACGCGAAGATCGAGGTCCGACTCGACGAAGCAAACCTACGACGAACGCGACACGAACAATGACCAACACGACTTAGTCAACGACTACGTCAGACACAGCTACCACAACCGCCACTCATACCCTTGCACAACCGATTGAGTGGTCTAGCAAACGCGACAACCGACACTGACGACGTTTCGTTTCGTTTCGTTTCGTTTCGTTTCGAAAGCGTCTTGCAAAGGCGGCCCCTGGCCCCGACGCTGCTAAGCTGATCTACAAACGAAGGGCAGCTTGGCAACATTCCGACAAACACACTGAGCTTTCGACGCGAGGCGCGCGACGAACAAGAGATCGTCGAGTGCAAAGAGAGCGTGCAACTGCATGCAAGTCTTGGCTCTGGTGATCTCTCAGCAGGGCCAAGCCCCCAATGGAGGCGACAAGTGAGGGACATAGCCAATTCGCAAGACTGAAAACAACATAGAGATACTAAAGACAGTGACTTCAAATGAATACGAGAGCTGAGCCACCTTCCCGACGCCGAGAGGGTCCTGGCGCCTTGCACATCGCCAGCTAAGATGGTGTCCATCAGCCTCTGGGTTCCTCCACAGCCTCATTTGACTGCCCCAGGACCTTTTGCGCCTCCTGATACATTTTGTGCACCCGACTCCTGAAGATCTGATGTTCGTGCTCGATAGACGAGACCTGCGTGAGCCTCTTGCCGCGCCGACACAGGTCCTGGGCCTCCAGAAACTCTGCCCGCAAGGTGTCGCAGTTCCCCTGCGCCTCCTGCAGCGAGTGGTTCGCCTGGTCGACACAGAGTTGTAGAAGTGGGCGCACCCTAAGCTCCAGCTCGGGCTCAGTCGAGATGGCCTCGGTCAGAGCCCCCCAGTTGCCGGCATAGATCATCTGCGCGATATCCCCCCACTCCGGTCGGCGACGCCGTGGGCCATCAAGAGGAGGGGCTTCGGCGTCTCGAAGGTGGGTGTCATGCAAGTCCGCAGCATCACGGGGCCCATCCCCAGCTTCACGAGATCGAGCTGGCTCAGCGGGCTCCTGGGCACGAACGGGTTCATCAGCGGGTCCATCGGGGTGAGCAGGGTCGGTCTCGGCAGCAGTAGGTGCACCAGTAGGTACATCAGGGCGCACTGGATCACCAGGTCCGTCGGCATGAGCTGGCCCCGCATCTGGTCCCTCGGCACGAACTGGTCCAGCGGGCCCCTCGTCACGAACGGTTTCATGAGCGGGTCCATCGGCAGGAACGGGCTCAGGCTCGGCAGTAGCAGGTACACCAGGTTCATCAGGTCTCTCGGCATGAGCTGGTCCCGCATCTGTTCCCTCGGCACGAGCTGGCCCAGCGGGTCCCTCGGCACGCGCGGGTTCATCAGCGGGTCCGTCAGCATGAGCACGGTCAGGCTCAGCATCAGCAGGGACGTCAGCAGGTACATCAGGACCCACTGGTTCATCAGGTCCCTTGGCATGAGCTGGCCCTGCATCAGGCCCCCCGGCACGAACTGTCCTAGCGGGCCCCTCGGCACGACCGGGTTCATCAGCGGGTCCATCGGCAGGAACGGGCTCAGGCTCGGCAGTAGCAGGTACATCAGCGTGTACATCAGGGCGCACTGATTCAGTAGGCTCATCGGCATGAGCTGGTCCCGCCGCTGCTCCCTCGACACGAACTGGTTCAGCAGGCTCATCGGCGCGGACTGGCTCAGCAGGCCCATCGTGCAGAACTGGGTCGGCCGCAGGACAAGGATCAAGTTCCTCCCGAAGATGGCCATGCCCCAGTTCGCGAAGCAAGGCTCCAGCAATATCGACATCGGGCACAAACTCGGGGGCCCCCGCCCTCAGGCACGGAGGTTGGACGAGGGACTCCAGGTGCAGTCGGACACGATGTTTCTCGGGGCGTGCCTCCAGCTGCGCGGCCGTGGACTCTAGCAGTTTCACTCGATCGAAGAGATCTTTGATAGCTCGCCTGGCCATGGAAGAATGTGAGGAAACAGTGCAAAACACGAGCGCGCGGCTCGCCTCCACCACAGAAGACTGATCGGCCTCAAGCGGGGCTGGGAAGCCCAGCCAGGGCGTGAGGTTTCAAGAAATCCCTGGGTGCCGTCTTGAGCCAAAATGACACTGACGACGACAACACAAGACATCCACAACCAACCAAAACGTGCACACGTCCACGCTGTCCTGGCGAGGCAAGGATCAAACTTCGAGACGGGCTCGAAGGGCGGGGGGGCAGGACGAGCACTGCCCGCGCCTGCCAGGGGGGATGGTGAAAGCCAAGGGGTGGGGGGGCAGGACGGCCACTACCCGCGCCCCCGCGGTCCGCCCTAGCCCGCCACCCCCACCATCCCCACAGCGGAGGTGGAGCTCACCCGAACGCCCCACAGGCGGAGCACAAGACAGACGTGGCATCCCCTACCGAGAGCAGAAGCAAGCACAAGGCCTGGGGTTCGCCCCCACCGAGGGCACTGTGACCCCTAGCCATAGCGGGACGAGGTGGGACAGCCACGAATTCCACTTGAAGTCGGCGCATGGAGGCCTTACAAGTGCGACCACCACCTATACGCCAAGACCAGCAACAACTCGACCACACACCGACCATACTATAAACGCGCCGACCCAGCGATCAACGCCCCCGATCTCACGCCGACGAAGGGGGAGTTCACGCGACCGATCATCCGAGCAGTATCGCACGCGACGAGCAGGCCCACAATACAACTTACTGTACGTATCACAAACCGCTCCGGATAGGCCGGCAGTCCTGACGGCATCCCAGGGCACTGGTGCAGTAGCAAGACAAAAAGACGACCACCAAAACAAGCCAGCACAATATACACGACCCGCAAGGCTACCATTCCGACAGCCGAGACGACTCCGAGAAGACAAGACTCACATAAGCAGCCAACGCGACCACGAGCACAATCAGAGCTATACAACCATTGAGAATTAAACCAAACAAGGACAGACCCAAACAACCGACGATTCACCGAGCAGCAACCAATGCAATCAACCAAGAAGCAACCCGACAACAAACAACAGGCCAATACAGCACCAGCCATCGACAGCTCGACACCAAGTGCGACCTCGGCAACACCAGAAGCTTGAAGACAAGGATACAAGCAACGCCAGCACCGACGCTATGCCAGGACGTCCACGGAGACGACCTGCACCCCGCAGCGCGGCGCGCCCTCGCGCGCCCGCGCCCACAGCGGCTACGGCGGACAGACCGCCGCGTGGCCGTCAGTGCGCAGGAGGAGGGTGCCTAGAGGGCGGGTGCCGTCTCAGGTGGTCGCCGCCCCCCCCATCGCCCTGGCCGCCACCCCAAATCCGTCCAAAGCCGTCCCCGGGAACCTTCCAGGAATCCATCCCGAAGAGATTTTCGAGCTGCGTCCAGCCGTAATCAGGGTGACCACGAGGGCCCCCCAGCATGCCCCGATCCAACGAACCAGCAAAAACATATCAACGACAAGAGAAAGCTTCAGCGCGGCGAAGAGGAAGAGAAAAGGAAGAGGAGAACAAGGCCACTCACAAGACCTGCGCCAGCTCAGACGAGGCAATGACCAGGATTCCTGCTCAGTGCCCTGTCAAACAGGCGCGGGACTACCGTGCCCTGGCCATGATATCTGACTGACCGATACCTCCCACGGGTGGCGCAGCGAAACCACCTCCGCCACCGCCAGGGAGAGGGCTTCCCAACATCCCAGCTGATGGGATGGGGACTCCAAAGAGCGCTCGGTCGACCTCACCGTCTTTGGCGGGAGGGCGCACGCAACGCTGAGCACCCTGTCCTGTCCTGAGCGTCAGCGCTACGGGTTCCGCGATGTGTGTTGCGAGTGGGCATAGGCGTGTGGCTGGTGGAAACAAGGCAAATAGCGCAGGGGGCCACAGCCGAACCCTACCCCTAACCCCCACGATTTCTGAGGGGGAGGGTGGGGTTCACGTCGACCAGGAGCCCCCGAGCGAAGTGAACCCCACCCTCCCCCTCAGAAATCGTGGGGGGTAGGGGTAGGGTTATGTCGGGCGTGTCCCCCTACAGGGGGACCTTCGACGAAAAATAAAAAGACCCTCAGAATACACCACAAAGGTCAAAAAATACTAAGACATATTTTTTCTATTGTTGGACTATTTTGGGGCTATTTTTCTGTTGTTCGTCGAAAATCCTCCTGTAGGGGGACAGGCCCGACTTAATGCTAGGGTTCGCCTGTGGCCCCCTATAGCGTGCCAGCGGGCCACCTCCATGGAGCCCGCCCGCAGAGACGGCCCCGGCGCGCGAGCTTCTGCCCTGCCCGGTCTCCCCGGGGGAAGGTGCCGGGCTGCTGCCCGGCCTGCCGGTGGGGGGTGAGAAGAGGAAATGGTGCGTGCGCTGCGGCGCTGCTGCGGCAGGTGGAGGACGGGCTGGGGGGGCAAGCAGGGGAGGGGTCGGAGGTGGACCGTTGAGCTCTCATCTGCTTGCGACAGAGACTGTCATCAACGGCGGGTCGCTGCCGCTCGTCTCCCCTGCCTCGCCCGGCGGTCTCAGGGCGAGCCAACGTGCTCTTCCATCGCGGAGGGAGGGCGAGGGTAGCAGGGGCAGGGGCAGGGGGCGGGAGGCGGGGGCAGGCAGGGGGAGAGGGAGGACCAGGGTTTGGACGCCCGAAATAGGTACAGAACACATGGGTACGATGCCAACACCGAATGTGGTCCAAAGCCGACAGCGGCCACTTTTGGGCAGGCGGCATCCAGTCTCAAACTACAAAACGACCGCGGCGACGCCGCCAACGAAGCCTGTTCAGAATAAACAAGAACTGCTGTTGGACTTTGTGAGCGTTGTTTGATTCGGCGTTTCGGCATTGGGCGGAAGGGGGGAGGGGAGGGGGGGTCTGGCCCTGGACCTTTGTTTAGTGCGAATGTTTGCAGCAGTGCGTCCATCATGGGGGAGGCTCCACATGCTCGAAACAGGCACCCCAAAAACAGCCAAGATCTACTCCATGGAGGGGGGAAGGGGGGGTGCGAGGGCCCGCGCCGATCGGCAAGAGAATGAATGAAAAAACGCTCACCTGCTGTTAGACTTTGGACCCGTTGTTTTCGTACACGCGTCGATCGCCCCCGAGGGTTAGGTCGGGCCTGTCCCCCTACACTCGGATTCGGGACGAAAAATGAAACATTATGCGCCCAAATGGTCAACCGCGTGCTCCCAGACGAGTGCTGGACTGCTGCGTCCCCAGGCAAGTGTTTGACTACTTTCGAACATTCCCCCCGTGGAGGGACGGGCCCGACTTCACCCGAGGGGGAGAGAAATGACGAACGGACAACACGCACCCATACCCATAGGGGGGTCGTTGGGAGGAGGACTGGCTATGGGTATGGGTGTGGGTTGTCGGACCCTGGGGAACGCGCCCGTTCGAGTGGGGACCCCCATCCGACAACACGCACCCATAGCCCTCTCCGATCCCCCTATGGGTATGGGTGTTTGTTGTTGGTTCGTCAAGAAAGCTTTGGCGGGCCGCCGGCGTCCGCCCACTCGTCCGACAGCACCAGGCCGCTCTCCGTGGCGTGGTGGTCCGTGAGGCGGCGCCCCTCCCGGCGCGCGGCCTCGCTCTCGTAGCGGTACACGCCGCCGGGCAGCAGGTCGTCGGCCACCAGGGTGACGCCCTCCTGGAGCCGGGCTCGAGGCGATTCGGGGGGAGCGTTGTTTGGTATTCTCCACACAGGCTTGCCCTACAGGAGTCCCAGCCCATTCTAAGTAATTGGTCTTTGGGACCCCCCCCCCCTTTTCCAATGGCCTCCCCTGCCCCCCTTTTTTCAATGGCACCCCCCCCTTTCTTTCTAATGCCCCCCCCAGCGTGCTTGCTCTTGCTTGCTTGCTCTTGCGTGCTTGCACTCGCTTGCTTGCTCTTGCTTGCCCTTGCTTGCTTGCACTTGATCGCTGGCTCTTGCTTGCTTGTTGTTGCTCGCTTGCGTTTGCTTGCTTCCGCTAGCTTGCTGGCGCTTGCTTGATGTTGCTCCTCCCGTCCTGCTCCCGTCCTCTTTTCGTCCTCCTCCCATCCTCCTCTCGTCCTTGGAGTCAACACTGGCTGATATTCGGCCTTTCGACATTGGGCGGAAGGGGGGGGGAGGGGGTGGGAGTCTGGCTCCGGACCTCTGCTGAATGCGACTGTTTGCAGCCGTGCGTCCACTATGGGGGAGGCTCCGCCTGCTCGAAACAGGCGCCAAAAAACAGCCAAGATCCACTCCAGGGGGGGGGAGGGAGCGGGGGTGCGAGGACCCGCGCCGATCGGCAAAATAATGAAAAAGAAACGATCACCTGGAGCTGGGCTTGAAGCAACTCGCGATAACTTGTCTGGGCGCCCGAGATGGGTAAAGGAAAAATGGGTACGATGCCCAACAGCAAGTGTTGTCCAAAACAGCAAGTCCTGTCCAGAATGGACAGGAACTGATGTCGGTCTTCGTATACATTCTTTCCGTACCCATTTCAATCGTCCCGAACTTGGCACAAAATGAGAGCGGGTCCTGGTAAGACCCGTTCTCCTCAGAACCCCTTTCCTTCATGGCGAAACGGCGCCCGTTGCCAGGGCAACCCATCTCCTCTTCGCCCGTCCCCGCCGGTAACGCGCTGGCGCAGTCTGGGAATGGCCACAGGTAGCCGATGCCCAAGCCGCGCCGGCGCAAATCGTGGCGTTACCGCTCCCTCCCGCTGGTAACGCTCGTCATGATGCAAAAAAGCCCGAGGCACCTATACCGCCGCGACGCCTGGTCAGGGCAATCGTGGGCCCTGGTATGGTGCATACGATCTCCGACCTCCCCACCGAATCTGAGGGAGTCGGCACACAATCCCAATCAGGTTACAGGATGGCCTCGGCCGGGCATGGCGATGGTACGAAGGTGCTTTCTGCGGCCAAGAATAGGTTCGACCATCTTATGTTGAACGGAAACCTTATCTCCCCCGCTGGCTAAGCCATCCGCGCCTATTCGACGTCATCCGAGACCATGCGAGACCATTCTAAAGCTATACCAGGCTGCCCGCAGCCTTTACGAGGCTGTTCGAGGAAATACCGAGGCGGCCATCCCGAAACCATCTGGACGACGAAGAATGCAGCAAGAGTCGGGACAGAGGTCCCCGACAAAATCATCGCAAGGCATTAAGGTTCGAGGGTCAAAGATCGAGATCTTAAAGAATGCCTGCGAGACAACATGCAAGACACCGGTGCCGCTGCTCCCCCAGACCTCTCCCGGAGCGCGCCTTGGCCAGGATTCCGAGGCGCACCCAGCAACGGCAGCGAGGAGGCCACAAGCGCCGAGAGCGCGGGAGGGGCGACGGACCCGGGATCTTCTTCTTCTTCGCCCTTGACATTCTGTTGCCCCCATCGCACTTGAGGACCACATCCCAGAAATAATTTCGAGCACCGGGAAAAGTGTCGAAAGAGTGTCGAAATAGTGTCGAAGCAATGTCGGACGAGTGTCTCCCAGGGCCCGACACGTGAAAATCCTCGAGCTTGGGGGTACTTTTTTGGCGCTCGAAATTCTTTCTGGTGGTCAAGGCCAAAATAGGTTGGAACATCATAACCTTAAGTCGGGCCTGTCCCCCTACAGGGGGATTTTCGACGAACAATTTAAAATACCCCAAAAATAAATACAAAAAAACAAAAAATAGTCTGGGGACTATGTCTTTAGTATTGTTGCTACCTTTTTGGGGGGCATTTATGAAGTATTCTTAATTTTTCGTCGAAATCCCCCCTGTAGGGGGACAGGCCCGACATAATCGTAACCCTGACAGAAGGGGACCGATGGCGAGGGGGACGCGGGGGGATGGTCACTGGTCACTGGCCGCCCGCTCCTCTCTCAGGCGGCGGAGCACTGGCAGCAGCGTCGAGGTCAGGCGCTGGGCGAGGGAGCCCTCCTCTCCTCGGATGCCACACCCCGGGAGCCAGGTTGATCCGTTGTGTTTTTCTTGTTGTTTGTTAGATTGTTGTTCTTGTGTGTTTTGTTTTTGTTCCCACAGTGTGTGTGTGTGTTTCCCACAGACTGTTGTGTTTTGTTTTTGCTTTTTTTCCCACAGTTTGCGTTTTTCCCCCACGTGTGTGTGTGTGTGTGTTTTTTTCTCCCTCCTCCTCCGACACGAAAATTGGCGACTTGGCAACCCCAAATCTCCGACTTGGTGGTGCTTCGAACGGGCCAGACAATCTGGGGCCCAATCCGGGGATCTGCATGGGAGGAGCCCATCCTCCACGGATGTGCGTCGGAATAACTAGCCCCCTGAGGGGTGTATCTCCGAGCGCCCCGGTTTCCTCGGGGGGGCACGGGGATTGCGGGGTGACAGATCGCCTGCGATCCTCCTCCTCCTCCTCCGTAGCCCTTTTGGCTCAAGCCAGGCTGGCTCACACCATTTTGGCCCAAGCCAGCCTCGCGCGAGGCCGCTCCGGTGTGCAGCTGGTTCATTCTGCCGATCCGAAGGCTCGCCGTGCTTCGGCTCGGGGATTGCAGGCCCGGCCGTCCGCAAGCTGTCAAAAGAGCCTTTGATTGCCACCTCGGAGCTAGGCATTGTTCTCGGCTCGCTCGGCCTCATCTGCGGCGACGTGGAGCTGGCAGACCAGCTTCTTTCTGGCTGCTGCTCCCGCGCTGGGTGCTCTACTTCGTGGTGACGTTACCTCTGAGGTGCAAAATGACGCTGATGGTGACGGCGCCCGCACAAGTGTGCACACGAAGTGACTATTTAACGGGGTGGGACTGGGGCGACCTCATGCACACATAGAACCGAATACCTAAGACAGCTGAAAGAAACAACGGGCCAGCAGGCACCTCAAGAATGTATGAAGCTATGCTCAAGCTAATTCCACCCACGTTGAGAGGAATGTCGCTCTGCACTCCGCGGTGAAGGCGTCGCTGCTTCTGCTGTTCCTGTGGATGTACTTCGTCATCTTCAGCAGAGCCCGCAGCTCGGGCGCTCTTCTGGAGATCAGTGTGGCGACACAGGTTCGCTGGAACCTGGACGCTAGGGACGTTCAGCCTCGTCCTCACCCCGTGCCTGCTGGTGTGGAGTGGTCTGAAATTCGTCTGCCTCTGGAGCCGAGCGGCACCATCCACAAAGAGATGCCCACCGTCTCGTGCGGAGTCTGGATCTTCTGTTGGGCAACACATGGTTTCCGATGGAGGGGTTGTCCGTCATGGCTGTGCCTTACACATCCGCTTCGAGGGTAAGGAAGACGGATGCCGAGTTCGAGGGCGAGATGCTAGACGCTGTCGGGCACGGTGCTGCTGTCTGGGAGCGCCTGCCAGATGCCAAGGTATTGGACATCTTCCCATCCTCGGGGTTCTGGAGTATGGTAATATCTCTGTTCATGTTCGACCATACACTCTATTTCACATCATTCATAACTGCGTCGCGTCCTACGTCATAGGAGTACACTGCATGGGTTGCCATGAGTGGCTGGTCCGCGACGAGGAGGACTGCGATATACTCTTCTTCAGGTGCGCGGCCTGAAACTTCGTGTTTTGCGAACGCTGCGCCCCCCCCCGGTAATCGGGGCGCTTCCCTGGCCATGGCGGTGTTAGCTCCGAGGTTCGCGTAGGGGCGGTTCCTTGATGGACGGGTTGACTGCGAGCTTAGACTTTTTGGCGGCTGGGCGGAATAAGTCATTGTGTTCTTCCTGGCTGCGCGGTGCACGCTGAATGTGGCACTCTGTGTGGGCATTCGGCCTTGGCTGTACTTCGATATCTCGCCTTCTTCGATGGCACCAGAGTATCCATCTACGGCGTAGCCATGATGCTGTTGGAGCGGCTGCGTTCGTGTGGCTCGTGCTCGTGCTCTGTGTGGTGGTGCTTGTGTCCGTGCAGGTGAGCTTCTTCGGCGCCGCAGGTGCACTCACGCCTCTGGCGGGTTCACCCTCCGCCAGGGGGCATGGCGGGGTATGGTCCTCCTGAAGAGGGGGGCTAACAGACGTTGCATTAAACAAACATGCCCTCCTCCTCCTCCTCCTCCTCCTCCTCCTCTCCCTTCTCCCTTCTCCCCCTCCTTCTCCTCCTCCTCCTCCTCCTCCTCCTCCTCCTCCTCCTCCTCATCCCCCTCCTCCCAGAATTCCGATGTCGCTTTCCTTGTCGCGGCCCGGGCCCATGGAGCCCTCGGCCCCGTTCCCGGCCAGAGACCCAGCTTCTCGTCACTCGTCGGTTAACTCTGGACACAAAAAACCGTCCCCACCCCCACCAGGGGAAGTCTTGGCCGCGCCAGCCGACCTGCCCCCCTCGCACGTGGGGATGCATGCCGTCTTCTCCGGGCTTCACAACAACCATCCTCGCCTTGAGGGCAGGGCTGAACCTAAACGGTGTTTCTCGTTTTCGTTTTGTTTTCGTTTTCCCGCGTTTTGTCCTCAATCCACCTCTACCGCAAAACGAAGTCGAAACGAAAACGGCCCACGAGATCGCCAAAACACCGTTTAGGTCCAGCCCAGCTTGAGGGTGTGCGCTATTGAGGCAGAACCTGCCCTGGCCCCGTCGGGGTCTGGAATGCTTCCGACCCTGACGAAGAAACGGGCCTCTGGAGCCCGACAAAACGAGGACAAACATGCCCGTCGCTGCTTCTCGCGGCGCCCGGAAATCTGCCCGGGCCCTATACGATGGGGGCATTGGATAAGGAACCCTTAGATAAGGGATCCAGGGTCTGGAGGCCGGTGGAACTCCAATCCAGGATTGGCCATGGATGTCACCGCCGCCCTCATTGGATAAGGAATCCTCCAGGGTCTGGCGCTTCCTGGGACTACTCCTTGATCAACGTCCCCACCGTATCTCATGATTGCCCCCCCCCCCCCCCCGACCTCTCTCGGGGTGCGTTCTGCGAAAGATCTCGAGGCGGATCCGTCCGTGGCCGCGAGGGTGCCACAGGATGCCTGAGCCAAAAAAGGTCGCCTTGGAGGGCTCCAAAAGTCAAAGGCGTCCAATATCAGGACCCTCCAGACTGAGATTTGGACATTTGTTCCCAACCATCCTGTGGTGTTGGGTCCTCGTTTTGAAGAGACGGTGCCCCGCGTTCTCCTTCCTTCCTTCCTTCCTCCCGCTGCCTCCTCCCCCTCCTCCTCCCTCCTCCCCCTCTTCCTTGCGTTTCACCCACCCAGTACAGCGCTTCGTGGCCCCATAGGGAGCTCCACCGAAGGCCCCAGTGCTGCCGCCCGCATGCGTCACGCACACCCAATTCGGCACACCCCTCACACGTTTCGTGGCCCCATAGGGAGCTCCGCCGAAGGCCCCAGTGCTGCCGCCCGCATGCGTCACGCACACCCAATTCGGCACACCCCTCACACGTTTCGTGGCCCCATAGGGAGCTCCGCCGAAGGCCCCAGTGCTGCCGCCCGCATGCGTCACGCACACCCAATTCGGCACACCCCTCACACGTTTCGTGGCCCCATAGGGAGCCCCACCGAAGGCCCCAGTGCTGCCGCCCGCATGCGTCACGCACACCCAATTCGGCACACCCCTCACACGTTTCGTGGCCCCATAGGGAGCTCCACCGAAGGCCCCACGCATGCGTCACGTCGGCACACCCCTCCATGATTGCCACACGAAGCACACCCCTCACAGTGGCTGCCGCCCGCATGCGTCACGCACGCCCAATTCGGCACGCCCCTCACACACCCCGTGGCCCCATCACAGGATTTCCACCGAAGGCCCCAGTGCCCGCGCCCGCATGCGTCACGCACACCCAATTCGGCACACCCCTCACACGCTTCGTGGCACCATAGGGAGCTCCGCCGAAGGCCCCAGTGCTTCCGCCCGCATGCGTCACCCACACCCAATTTCGGCACACCCCTCACACGTTTCGTGGCCCATAGGGAGCTCCACCGAAGGCCCCAGTGCCCGCGCCCGCATGCGTCACCCACACCCATTTCGGCACACCCCTCACACGTTTCGTGGCTCCATAGGGAGCTCCACCGAAGGCCCCAGTGCCCGCGCCCGCATGCGTCACCCACACCCATTTCGGCACACCCCTCACACGTTTCGTGGCTCCACAGGGAGCTCCACCGAAGGCCCCAGTGCCCGCGCCCGCATGCGTCCCGCACACCCATGTCGGCACATCCTTCACAGGTTTCGTGGCCCCATCATCCACCGGAGGCCCCAGTGGCGGCGCTCACATGCGTCACCCACACCCAACTAATTCGGCACACCCGTCACACGTTTCGTGGCCCCATAGGGAGCTCCACCGAAGGCCCCAGCGGCCGCGCTCACATGCGCCCCCGCCACCCATCCCGGCACGCCCCTCACAACAACAGGTTTCGTGGCCCCAAAGGGAGCTCCACCGAAGGCCCCAGCGTCACCGCCCGCATGCGTCACCACCCGCACCCAATTCGGCACACCCCTCACACGTTTCGTGGCCCAATAGGGAGTTGCACCGAAGGCCCCAGTGGCGGCGCTCACATGCGTCCCCGCCACACATCCCAGTACGCCCCTCACGCGCTTCGTGGCCCCACAGGGAGCCCCGCCGAAGGCCCCAGTAGCGGCGCTTACATGCGTCTCTGCCACCCATCCCGGCCCCCCCCCCGCAGCAGCATCATGTTTCGGGGACCCATAGGGAGCTCCACTGGAGGCCCCAGTGGCGGCCCTCACATGTGTCCGCCACCCGTATCGGCACGCCCCGCGCGTGTTTCATGTCCCCATCGGGAGCTTCACCGAATGCCCCAGTGGCGCCCATCTCGGAACACCCCTCACACGCTCCGTGGTCCTATGGGGAGTTCCATTGAAGATGGAACCCGCAGCTGCGGTACTGACAACTGCATATGGTTGGGTTCTTCGCCAGGCTAATTTTTCGATCGTCTGGCTTGCTCGATTCCCATCTCAAAGCGCGAATGAACCGCGGCATGATCAAAGCCCCGATGGCGCATCTCGGTCCGATCGGTCCACGGATCGGTAGTCACGCGAGTGAGCCACGGATCGGTCAGCGCTGAGCTCCCCTCCGAACAGGCGGACGAAGTGGTCATCCTCGGCGTCATCGAGGAGGGGGAGGGAGAAGGACCCTGAGATCCGACGTAGCCAAAAAATGCAACATCGTGGAGCATAACGACAAGAGCCCCAGACCCAACCTTTTCTGCGGCATTCCTCGTGCCCGATCGATATGCGGAAGCCCCGGCAGGGGGCCCAAAATCCGAGCGAAAACGACCTCCGTGGTGAAAATGCGACTCCAGGGTTTCGGGGACTCCTTTCGTACCCGATCAACTTGTCTTGGCACGGGGGCATGAAGAAACGGTGACCGCAAGGCGACACAACGCAAACACGCGGGCAGTGACAACAACTACAGTGGGGGCGCGCACCAAGAAACCATCTGCTTTTCGTAAGGGTATCCTGGGTTTCTTCGCTCCGCGCGCTGCGTGGTGACTTCCCGCGGCCGTTCAAGAAGCTGCTGCGTTCAGGGTGCTCCGGGCTTCCCCTCAGATGTACCTCGCGCGCGGGTTTTCAGGGTTGGGTTTCTTGCGAGGGTTTCCTGCGGTCGCGCCCGCACTGTACAACAACAAATTTAAGACTGCTCGATCTTCGTTGCGAACGTGTCGCTCAACATGTACGTCCCAAACCCTCGATGCGCGCCCTCTTCGTCTTCGACCGCGCCCCTTTTGGAGGTAGATCGTTGCCTGTCACGTGTAAAATTGGCGCGGCACCTGGAATACGAGGCGGAGGAGGAGGAGGAGGGAAAAGGAAAAGGGAGGGAGGAGGAGGAGGAAACGGAGGAGGAGCAGGGGGAAAAAGGAAAAGGGAGAGAGCGAGGAAAGGAGGACGACACGAGAAGGGAGGGGGCCGATTCGGAAGTTGCAGGCGAAGGACACGAAAACAGGAGGGGCTGGAGGGAGGAGCAGTGCGTCTGGCAGACCGACGGGCGGGCGGATCCTGAGGGGCAGGTCGGGCACAAGCAAATGAGTATCGTTTAACCGATCCCCATCCCCAGCGGCGTTGCCTGGGCCCCGCTGGCCGATTTACCCCCCTAGAGGGGGACATAGGCCGTTCCCTCCGGGCCTCGAGGGGTGTATCCCTGACTGGGGTGGTGATTTGGTGGGGGTCTCGAAGGGCATGGAGATGGGGATGGGGACCGGTTTAACTTATGTTGCTCCCATCGTACTTGAAGACCACATCCCAGAAAAAGTTTCGAGCACCCGGCGAATCTCGAGAGCTGTTGAGACGCAGCTCATCTACAGCTCGAGTTAAGTTAAGAAAACCGAAAGCAAATTACAGAGTGCGAACAGTTTTTCAATCGCAGCTCTGGTGGCAGACCGATCTCAGACGTCTCGATACTGTAGGCGAATATTCCTGATCCTTTCCTGTTGATCGGTGTGTTTCCCAGCTCCGTTCAGGCGAGAGATGGGCTCCTGGGGGGGAGGGGGAGGAGGAGGAGAAGGAGGAGGAGGAGGAGGAGGAGGAGGAGGAGGAGGAGGAGGAGGAGGGAAGGAGGAGGAGGAGGGGAGGAGGGGGAGGCAGATGAGGAGGAGGGGGAGGAGGAGGAGGAGGGAGGAGGAGGAGGAGGAGACGAGGAGGAGGAGGGAGGAGGAGGAACCGCCACCGACGCAGAGCCAGGCCTCCAGGAGGACACGTGGGCCGAAGGGCGCGCAGTGAGTTGCGAGGAAGCCTCCAGCGGAAGCGCTACCTCTGAGTCAATTGAGAGGACGTATCTAAGGGAACGAACAATGGCATAAACATGAAAACTCTGAGGTTCGCGCAGACTTCTTGGATCGGCGCTGGACCCCCCTCCCTGGCGCGCGGAGCGCGCCAGAGGCGGCGCCAGAGGCGCCGCCAGGGGGGTCTGGCGCCGATCCAAGAAATCAGCGCGGACTTCGGAGTTTTTATGCTTATGTCATTGTTCTTTCCCCTAGTATCAAGTGGGAACAGTTGCTTTGGAAGACTGTCCTAGCACGGTACAAGCCCAGTGGGGCACTTCAACTGAAATTCTCAATGAGCACTACAGGAGGTGGATCAACAATAGATATCAGCAGCAAAGACGGAGTCAATGGCAAGGGTTTGGCGAAAGAGCAGGAGGAACAAGGACATGCGAGGGGCGAGTCGGTGGGGAGAGTCGCCAGTCCTACATTTTCGACAGCTCTCCCCTTGGCACCCGTCGGTCTTGGGCCGTCTGCAGCTGTCTTCTGACAATCTTCGGTGGTTTCTGGCGGCCTTCGGCAGGAAAGCCAGACAGCTGCGTTTAACGAAAAGGACCCATGATCGAACACCCAGCCCTCGGATCCTGCGTGTACTCCGTTAACTCGAACGCGAGCCTCCCCGGCGCCCGGTGAGACGCCTCGAGCACCCGTCGCTGCACCTCCGGCATCATCCACTCGGACGGCCGCAGGTTCACGCTGATGGAGGGGAAGGTCGGGTAGACCTCGAGGGACAAGAAAGATCTAGGAGGCCACTCCTGGGAGGTCTTCGTTGAGCATCAACTGACCGATCACCATCCCCACTGGTATGGTGTTCGCCCCACTGGTATGGTTTTCGCCCTACTGGTATGGTTCTGGTCCCGACCACCATCCCCCCTAGTCGTGGATATACGATATACGCTGTTCCATTCGGGTTTCGAAGGGCCTGTCTCCACCTGGGGGGGCTCTGGTGGGGATGAGATACAGCGGGCCAAATGGGATGGGGATCGGTTAGACGATGCTGACTCGTGGTCCAGATTGAACGCAACAAAGCCAGGTTTAGAGGCTGAGCCAGAGTAGTAAGCCTCACTAGGCCAAGGAAAGTTGGCTGGATTAAAACTGTTTTCGGAAGGTCCGTGGACCTCGATGGTCTTAAGGACTCACGAGGCAGCTCGTGGTGAATTGTCGCGGGAACGATCAGACGCGATTAAGCCAAGTTGAAAGGCCACTAGGCCAGGTTCAGCCATACTGAGCAAACGAATTCAGCAGACTGAGCGGGCTCTGGTGGGAAGAGGGGAACGCTGCGTGGACCTTGAGGGAATGAAAGTCTTAGGAAGCAGACCCTGGGAAATGTTAGAAGTAACGGTTGCAGACTATCATAAGCTCGGAACATGGGCTGTCGACCCGGATCGAGCCATAATTACGAGACCAACCGCCAAAGGACGGCTCATGCTTTGCATGTGTCTTGGCCCTCCGCTGACAAATGGATCGCCTCGGAGGGCGGGCGACCGTGACCATCCTGGCACGGACCGCGCGGAACCTTCTTTAGAGGGCAGAAAATCCACCCCGATAAATAACCACCCCGACACGCGAGGCCTTTAGTAAACGCGCCCAAAGAAGGAATCGAACAGGGCAGGGCTGCTTAGTAGACGCCCAGGGCCGTTTAGTAAACACCAATTGTCCGGTCCAGGTGGTTTTTCCTCCCTTGATTGTTGAAAACCGCAGAACATCTGGGCCGGGACCTGCGGTTTAGAGAAGACACCTCAAGCGAAAGCTTGCACTTTGACGCTGGGCAACCCAACTCTTTCACATTTGCCACGAGCACGCATACGAATGACAAGCGGTGTACATGATTTATGGGCCTGTGGAATGCGCGAAGCGGTTGAATAGAACTGCGTGTGATGGCGGCGGGCAAGCATACGAATTGAATGATACATGTAGTGAGTCTAAACATAAGCCGCATATGACAAAACAGTGTGTACACCTACTTTCAATATTCGCTCAAACCATCGCGCGCGCTCAAGTTCTAACTAGCTTGGCATCCCACCAACCCTTTAGGGCGTGAGTGGTTCGACGGGTCTCCTCTTCCACACCCTCTTCTCACCTTTGAGGAGGGGATTCCCCCCTCCTTTCCCCTGGACCTGGACAGGGGGTTCGCAACCGATTTGAGCGTCCAAGAAGGCCTCGGCGAGGTTTCGGGCACATTCTGGCTTCGAGGGGGGAGGCTAATATGGTAGCCTCCCATTCTTTGACCGATTCCTCCAAGATGGCTCCAAGATGGCACCCAAGGCTCCCAAGGGTGGCCCAAGGCGGTCCCAAGGGAACCCCACATGGCGCCCAGGAGGCCCCAGGAGGACCCAAGAGGTCCCAAAGAGGCTTCTCGGAGACCCCCAAGAGGCTCCCCGAGGCTCCCCCGAGGCACCCAAGACGCTCTACGAGGCCACTGGGACCGCCAAGAGGCCCACAAAACGCGTCAATAAGAGCCCAAGAAAACTCTCAAGAGACATCCGAAGAGATCCTGAGAGACATACAAGAGGCCTCTGGCCTTTCTGTGTTCCCTCCTCCTCATCCTCCACATCCTCCTCCTCCTCTTCCTCATCCGCATGTTCCTCCTCCTCCTCCTCCTCCTCCTCCTTCTCCTCCTCCTCCTCCCTCCTCCCTCTCCCCATCCCACTCCTCCTCCTCCTCCTTTTCCTCCTCCTCCTCCTTTTCCTCCTCCTCCTCCTCCTCCTCCTCCTCCTCCTCCTCCTCCTCCCTCCTCCTCCTCCTCCTCCTTCATCCTCCCCCTGTTGGGGTACGGCGGCTTCCGCACCTCTTGATTCCACTGCATGCTCCTCCACGTCCCTTTCCGATTGATCGTGTGAGACGTAGGCTCTTTTCTTTCGGGCAGGGAGGGCCAGCTGGACAGAGAAGCCTTGCAGCTTCACTGCCATTGCCAATGCGCTGCGATCAGCGCCAAGCTGGTGGGGGCGCCAATCCGCAACCGTGCCGCAGGCACGGAACGGAGTGCTCCCAAGCCTCTTCGAGATTTCGGCGCGGAATCTTGCAAATGCGGCCGAGACGCCCTGGGCCCCAGATTTCGGGGCTGCCTCGGGCTCCCCATCTCTCCGGGCCCGGGGCAAAAGAAAACAGCTGTGTCAAGATATGTTGCTGCATGGCCTTCGCGTTGTCAGCTTCTCGGTCTTGCAAGCGCTCAAGACGGCTCCGGAAGGCCCCAAGATCGCCCCAGCACGGCCCGCAGGGCTCCAATAGCGACGCTCGAGAGGCCGCCCGGACGGCCGTGCGAGGGGCCAACCAGAACGCGCCATCCCCACACCGCCTGTCCCCCTACAAGGGGATTTTCGATGAAATATTAAAAATACCCCCAAAATACCCCCAAATGGCAAAAAAATACTCAAACAATAGTCCCTGGACTATTTTTGAAATATTTTTGGACTATTTTTGGCCCCCTGTAGGGGGACAGGCCCGACATAAAGGTAGACCCAGGACCACGCGGTGCAAACACTGGGGCACGTTCGGGGTTCTCGGAGGCTCCTGTGGGAGCCGGGCGGGGGCTCTCTCGGAAGGCTTTGGTACACTGCGGGCGCGGCCGCAGGAAATCCTCGTAAGAAACCCAACCCTGAAAACCAGCGCGCGAGGTGCACCTCAGGGGAAACCCGAAGCACCATGAACGCAGCAGCTTCTTCAACGACCGCAGGAAGTTACCGCGCAGCTCGCGGAGCGAAGAAACCCAGGATGCCCTGACGAAAATCATATGGCTTCTTGATGCGCGCCCCATCTGTAGGGGAGGAGGCACTTACCGTCGTCTGGATGCCTCTGATGGGGGGGGGGACAGGGCGGGAACCCCGGGACTACTTGCTGTGCGGCTGATGGTAGAAGGGACCTCTGGCGGACCCTCCGAGCTATGGCCAGAAGGCTGGCGAGCGAGGTGCCGCGACAGCAGACCGCGGGTCCCCAGTAGTGCTTTCGGAGGTGATGGGCCTGTTTTCCACCACCACCACCATAAGTTGGAGGAGGAGGAGGAGGACGACGAAGAGGAGGAGCAGGAGGAGGAGGAGGAGGAGGAGGAGGAAGACCCCCTCCCCCTCCAACTTATGGTGGTGGTGGTGGAAAACAGGCCCATCGGGAGGAGGCCGGCTGGACCTCCAGAACCCTGATGGCCGCCTCGATCTCCAGGAACTTGAACTGGAGGTAGACCTCGACATTGGGGGATCGACTACAGAATTGATTTACCCCAAAATTGATTTTCACGTCGACTCTTCAACAAACACACGTCAACCAACCGTAGACCTGCGAAAGCTCTACGAATTGCCCGTGGATTCGACGAGAAAAATGCCTTCTGGGGCAAATCAATTTTGAGGTCGATCCCGTACTCGACCCTACTAAGGACCACATCCCACAAATAATTTCGAGCACCCGGAAAAGTATGGAACAGTGTCGAAAGAGTGTCCAAAAAGTGTCGAAACAGTGTCGGAGGAGTATCCCCCAGGGCCCGACGCGTGAAAACCCTCGAGTTTCGGTACTTTGTTTGGTGCTCGAAATTCTTTCTGGCGATGAAGGCTAAAGTAGGTTGAAACATCATAGACCTCGACATTGGTGTTGAGCAGGTGGTCCAGGACGTCCAGGATGAGGCCCACGGCCCACGAGCTGCTGTGCAGCGCCACGAGGCTCTCCGTGCCCAGCAGCCTCGACTGCTGCTTGTCCGAGCTGACCTCCCACATCGGCTGGAGCCCGAAGGACCACAGCCTGGAGTTAGGTCGGGCCTGTCCCCCTACAGGGGGATTTCGGGCGACAAACATAGAAATACTCAAAAGATACTCCCAACATGCTCAGAGATAGTCAAAACATGGTACCCACACTATTCTTTACTATTTTCGAACATCACCCCTGTAGAGGGACAGGCCGGACTCAAGCCTGGAGCGCTCAGTGTCGTACGCCACCTCCATCGCATCCTTGCCGCTGCTGATGTCGGCGAGCATTCCCTGGAGCGCCGACTTGAACAGATCTGTCTTCTCCTGCAGCTGCATCTTGTACAGCGGGCTCGTGAGCCGCAGGGGGCGATGCACAGGTTTGGTGAGGAGATCCGGAAATTTGGCAGACACTGCGTCGAACAACTCTTTCTGCGTTAAGAGCACCATGAAATGCTTGAAGGAAGACTGCCAGCACTGACAGGAAAGCCGTGCTATTCAAGTGACCCCATGGGTCGGGCTTGTCTGAAACCGACTGCGTGATGCTGACGATGACGCTAAAGACGACGATGTTATGGACACAGCATGACGATGGTCAATGGTTCGACCACTCTGTGGGGCAATCTCCAACCACTGCAGTCCCCAGCCGTCACGCTTGTGACATGTTCAACGGCATTAAGCATAAGGAAAAGCCCAAATTATTTGAAACCTTGGACAAATTTGGGGTGCATTATGTCGGAGGTTGGGGGGTGAGTCCGACGTGAAACGGGGACCCCCACTACCGGGAAATCGATTTCGGTTTCGGGTCCATATCGTGCGTGCCGTGCGTGCGTGCGGGCGAGGCGAAGCTGCGTGGGCGGGCGAGAGGAAATCCTCCTGTGGCTGGGCCGCGGCCGGACCAAATGTAACTCCTCCGGCGGCCGGTGCCCCGCGGTGTCCCGCCAGCGTCCCGCCGTTGTCCCGAAATCCTCCTGTGGCTGGGCCGCGGCTGGACCAAATGTAACTCCTCCGGCGGCCGGTGCCCCGCGGTGTCCCGTAGTGTCCCGAAATCCTCCTGTGGCTGGGCCGCGGCCGGACCAAATGTTTCTCCTCCGGCGGCCGGTGCCGCGCCGTGTCCCGCCGGTGTCCCGCTGGTGTCCCGTGGTGTCCCGTGGTGTCCCGTTCAGTGAGATCGATCGTGAGATTGATAGTGAGATCGATACTGAGATCGATGTGATGCCCCGAGGTGTCCCGTGGTGTCCCGTTGGGTGAGATCGATAGTGAGACCAACAGGTGTCCCGTGGTGTCCCGTTGAGTGAGATCGATAGTGAGATCGATAGTGAGATCGATGTGATGTCCCGAGGTGTCCCGTGGTGTCCTATGGTGTCCCGCTGAGTGAGATTGTTAAAGAGATTTATAATGAGCCCGATAGTGAGATCAAGAGGTGTCCCGCAGATAAATAGATCGATAGTGAGATCGACAAGTGTCCCGTGGTGTCCCGTGGTGTCCCGTTGAGTGAGATCGATAGTGAGATCGATACTGAGATCGATGTGGTGCCCCGAGGTGTCCCGTGGTGTCCCGCTGAGTGAGATAGATAATGAGATCGATAGTGAGATCGACAGGTGTCCCGAGGTGTCCCGTGGTGTCCCGTTGAGTGAGAGTGAGATCGATCGTGAGATCGATCGTGAGATCGATGTGATGTCCCGAGGTGTCCCGTGGTGTCCCGTGGTGGCCCGTTGGGTCAGATCGATAGTGAGATCGATAGTGAAACCGATAGTGAGGTCGAGAGGTGTCCCGCAGTGTCCCGTGGTGTCCCGTGGTGGCCCGTAGTGTTCCGTGGTGCCCCGTTGAATGAGATCGATACTGAGATCGACAAGTGTCCCGTGGTGTCCCGTTGAGTGAGATCGATAATGAGATCGATTGAGTCAGATGTTGGTCCCCCCCACTCTCCCCCCCCACAACCTCCTTATCACCCGAAGGGTGGTCGTATACGTATATACTATGTCTGACGCGCCTCTTCATCCTCGTCCTCGTCGATATCGTCCTCCTTCTCGATATCCTCATCCTCCTGCTCTCCTTCGCGTTCTCCCCCTTTAGTGTCCATCCTCTCCCCCATCGCTCCCTGGCTGATCATTCCAAGCCCTGGGAGGAGGAGAAGGAGGAGCTGCGGGAGGGGGTGGGGAGGAGGAGTTGTCGCCATTGAAACACCCCCTGCCACTGCCCTCTCACGTATCTCTGCGTTTGACCCTCTTGCGACACCTTGCCTTCGTCTGCTGCCTCTGCCTCTGCCTCTGATTGTGACCCCCTGCTATGCGTATGACCCCTTGCTTGTTGTCCTCTGCTCTTGTGACACCTTTGCCTCTGCCTGTGGCCCTCTGCTCCTGTGACACCCCACCCCCTGGCCGCTCGTATGATGCTCATGATGCCCTGATCTCGCGACAAAGACATCTGCTTGCGACCCTGTGCTCTTATGATCCCACCCTGTCTTTGCTTGGGGCCAACTCCCGACGGCCCTTGCTGCCTCCCTCACGAACGCTTGCTTGCGATCGCGTGTCTCTGTACATCTGTTCGTCCTTTCAGCATATCGGAGGCATCCGGAAACATGTGCAGGCAAGGGCATCTGGGAGGCATCTGCTGTATGCATCTCGACTGAGGCTGTCTGCAAACATAATGGCGCCGGACCACGGCGTCTCTGCCGCCAGACCGCGCGCGTGAACCACCCCATTCTGGCCGAGCGCTGGCACACACGATTGGAAGAAGAGGAAAGGGAGGAGGACGAGGAGGAGGAGGAGGAGGATGAAGAGGAGGAAGAGGAGGAGGAGGAGGAGGAGGAGGAGGAGGAGGAGGAGGAGGAGGAGGAGAGGGGAGGAAAGGGGAGGAGGAAACGATTCCTGAAGCCGCAATGCATCTTCCCCGCGCTGGTTAGACATGGGAATTCGCCAACCCACTGATACACACGGGTGAACCGGAAGCGATCCCACCGTCTCGGCAAAAAGGGAATACGCCCTCGAGAATCGCAGAGCTGGGCGACGGCGCGATAAAATATAACATACCTGACAGTCAGCCAACTCCAAGGCATGCGGCCGCCGTGCAACCGACGGCACATGCTCGTTAGGTGGAGGACGGGGGGGGAACAGGCAGAGGAGGCAGAAAGCAGGCAAGCCCCAGCAGGCTTAGCCAATGTTCCGCCCCCGGGAGGAAAGAGCGGGAGGATGGGGAGGAGAGGGAAACGCACTGGGGCTAGCTCGGCGCGCGAGGCAAGGACATGACGCGGAATCAACGACGCGATATCAAAGTCTACCTGAAAAAACTCGCCACAAACGCGGCCGGTCGTCGCCCGGAGCAAAGGTCTAGCGCTCCTGGGGCGAAAGGCCGCCCCCTGAAGATCGTCGGAAACGTGCGGTTACCCCGGAGTCAGGCCGCACCAACGGACAGCGCCATCTGCGGGCCGAATGTCGGCCACGCTGCCGGGACCGCCAGAAACTTAAGGAGGTGCAAGGGAGAGGGAGAAAGGACTAGCTACGCGCGCTCGCGCCACATCCAACAGCCGATCTCTCCCTCCCATCCCTTCTCATTGCGCGGATCTTTCTCTATGCGCGGACGCGTGTCGTAGCCGACCTGGAGAACAGTTTTTCTTTTGTTCTGCGCTCCTTCGATAGACGCCGAACATGCCAGCTACAGGAGGGAAACACAGGCAGAAGAGAAAGGATGGGCAGCGGCCCTGCGCACTGAACTTCACGGTCTCCTCCTCCTCCTCGGCCTGCTCTGCGCACTCTCTCGTCTACGGCCCTGCACGCCGTCTCACGATCGAGCGCCAGGTCGCTTTGGCCCGCTCGAGCTGCACCTCCTTCTGAAGGACGTCATCGACAACCAGCGAGTCGGCGAAATGCCTGTGCCCAAACGGTCGCATGTCGTTCACGAAGAATCCTTCACCCCACATGGGCGCCGAGTGCCCCCGTGTCTGCAGCCTCACGCTCATGCGGTTGGTCCTGTAGTCGATCCAGCCGTGGACCAAAGGGTGCTTGTGCGCGCTGGCCCGTGTCATGGCCAGCACACGGTTGAGTGGCTGGGCGCGCGGACCAACGCTGTCCTGCTTGGCCCAGTCCGCCGCCAGGGCGATCTCAAATATCCACTCGTCCGCTATCTCATGTCGCGCACGCCACCATTGCAAGCCTATGCACGGATCGCCTGCGGTCGCTACGTGCGCGCCGATGTTGGTCGCCTTGGTGTCCAAGACCACCTCGGTGTCTCTGAGGGTTGTTTGCGCGGCCCCCCGCCGCGCCAGGTCCTGCGGCGCCTCGCCCTCGCTCACCTCCGCTCGGTGGGCGTAGCGGGTACTGCCCTGGTTACCCACGAAACTCTGCTGGCCTCTGTCGGCCAGCGGGCTGTCGTCGATGCCCCGCCGGCCGCCAGGTTGCCGTCGGCGCTCAGCTCCGTGCCGAAGGTGTCGAGCATCCCGCCCCGGCCCACGGGCCCCGCGTTGTTGGGGGTTGTTTGTGCGGCCCCCCACCGCGCCAGGATCTGCAGCACGTCGCCCGAGATCACCTCTGTCTCGTTGGCGTTCTGGGTACTGCAACGGTTGCTCTTCCTGCTCTACTGGTCCTCGTCGACCAGCGGGAACGTCGTTGATGCTCGCCTTCGCATCGTCGGCCAGCACGGCGCCGTCGGCGCTCGCAACCGCGCCGGAGGTGTCGAGCATCCTGGCTGTCGATGCTCACCTGCGGGCTGTTGTCGATGCTCACCTTTGCCCCGTCGGCCTCCTGGTTGCCACCGGCGATCGGCTCCGCGCCGGAGGTGTCGAGCGCCCTAACCTGGCCCGCGGGCTCCGCGTTGGGGGTTATTTGTGCGGCCCCCCACCGCGCAAGGTCGTGCTCACCTTCGTCAGGTAGGTGTGATGGGCACTGCCCTGGTAGCCCTTGAAGCTCTGCTGGCCCCTGTCGACTGGCGGGTTGTCGTCGGTGCCCCGCCGGCCGCCAGGTTGCCGTCGGCGCTCAGCTCCGTGCCGAAGGTGTCGAGCATCCCGCCCCGGCCCACGGGCCCCACGTTGTTGGGGGTTGTTTGTGCGGCCCCCTTCCGCGCCAGGATCTGCAGCACGTCGCCCGAGTTCACCTCCGTCTCGTTGGCGTTCTAGGTACTGCCACGGTTGCTCATCCTGCTCTGCTTGTCCTCGTCGACCAGCGGGAACGTCGTTGATGCTCACCCTCGCATCGTCGGCCAGCACGGTGCCGTCGGTGCTCGCCACTACGCCGGAGGTGTCGAATATCCTGCTGTGGTCCTCGGGTTCCGCGTCGTCGCCACGGAGAAGAGGGATGATGTGACGGCCCGGCGCGACACCATCCGCGAATGCTGCGGCTGTCCAAGCAACCGCGTCACAGTGCAGCGTGTCGGCAGCAGGGATGTGCCACGCTCCACGCACATATCCCTAGCCCGCGTCGGCCTCCACCCACTCCATGGGCAGCTGCAGCCGAAGCGAGGTGGACAGCGCGCAAACTGCACGCCGCTCTCCTTCTTCTGCGGGCCGAACGAGACGGCGAGGCCGCGCCCACCTCGCAGGGCCGTGCGGCGCAAGCGCCATCCATGGGGCGACACGGCGTCTGGTGCCAAGTCTGAAACGGGCGCCGGCTTGGGCCCATGGACCTTGAGCCAAAGTGGCTTGAGCCAAAATGGCTACGGAGCCTGGAAAAAGAGGGAACTGAGTACATAGGATGAGGAGGAGGAGGAGGAGGAGGAGGAGGAGGAGGAGGAACAGGAGGAGGAACAGGAGGAGGAGGAGGAGGAGGAGGAGGAGGAGGAGGAAGCCGGTGAACAGGAGGATGAGCACGAGGACAATGAGGAGGATGAAAAAGGAGGACGAGGACGAACAGCAGCAGCAGCAGGATCTGGAGTGGAAGGAATGGGGGCAGGGCCCCCCCAGCGCCACCTGGCTGGTCACGAGCGCGGGCGCCGGCGCCGGCCCAGGCCCTGGCTCCTGCCGCGGAGGGGAGCCGCGTCCGCCCCACGGGGGGAGGCACGTCCTGCTCATATTCCTCATCCTCCTCCTCCTCCTCCTCCTCCTCCTCCTCCTCCTCCTCCTTCTCGTCCTCCTCCTCCTCATCATCATCACCTTCATCACGACCACCATCATCATCAGCATCACCACCGTCATCATCATCATCATCATCATCATCATCATCAGCAGCAGCATCATCATCACCATCATCGTCATCATCATCATTATCACCAACATCATCATCATCATCATTATTATCATCATTATCATCATCATTATCATCAGCATCATCATCATCATCGTCATCATCATCATTACCACCAACATCATCATCATCATCACCACAACCATCACCACAACCACCGCCATCATTATTCTCATCATCATCATCAGCATCATCATCATCATCATCATCATCATCATCCGCCTCATCATCTTCATCAGCTTCAGCATCATCAGCAGCATCAGCATCATCCGCATCATCATCAGCATCATCATCATCTAACCACCACTGTCATCATTGTAATCAGTATCATCATAATCAGCATCGTGACCTCCACCACCATCATCATCATCAGCATCATCACCACAAGCACACAAGCATGATCATTACCACCACGATGATCAGCAACATCGTCATCATCCCCGTTCCCCTCCTCCTCCTCCGCCTCCTCTTCCTCCTCATAATCCTCACCATCATCGTCACCACCACCACAACCACCACCACCACCACCACCATCATCATCATCAGCAGCAGCAGAAGCAGCAAGCATAATCAGCATCATCACCATCGTCATCACCACCACCACCATCATGAATATTAACATGATCGTCATCATCAGCGTCAGCATCAGCATCATCATCAGCATCATCATCATCACCCACACGATCATCCTCATCCTCATCCTCATCATGATCATCATCGTCACCGTCATCATCATACGCATCAGCATCAGCTTCAGCATCGTCAGCATCAGCAACTTCAGCAAGGGCGTCATTATAAGCATCACAGCCTCCTCCATCGCCGTCATCGTCATCATCAGCGTTATCACCATGAACATCGCCAACCTCATCACCAGCATCATCATCATAACCAGCATCGTCATGTCCACCACCACCATACTCATCATCATCATCATCATCATCATCATCATCATCACCATCATCATCATAACCACCATCATCATCACCACTACAATCATCATCATCATCATCATCATCATCATCATCATCATCATCATCATCATCACCACCACGATCATCAGCATCATCGTCATCATCGCTCCCTTCCGACTCCTCCTCCTTCTTCTCCTCCTCTTCCTCCTCATGGTCCTCCTCCTACTCCTACTGGTCCTCCTCGTCCCCCTTCTCCCCTCCTGCTCGTCCTCCACCTCCTCCTCCTCTTTTGAGCAGGGGCCGACCGTCCCAGCATTCCTATAGTCCTACCACGAGATGTTCTTAGAACACAAAAATGTTCTAAGAACAAAAACAATGTCCTTAGAACATAAGCCCGATGTGTTCAAACAAGACAGACTCCGCCAGAAATGCTCTAAGAACATTTCGTGGAAGCTACAAACGGTTCTTAGAACATTGTTTGGTAGGGCTACAGGCGAGCCAGGACGCTCCGCCACTGCTTGACTGTTCCTCCTCCTCCTCCTCCTACTCATGCATTCCTCCTCCTTCTCCTCCTCATCCTCCTCTCCCTCCTCCTTGTCTACTTCCTTCTCCTCGATTCCATTCCATTCCATTCAATTTCTCCTCCTCCTCCTCCTATTCCTCCTCGACCTCTTCCTCATCTTCCTCCTCCTGCTCCTGCTCCTGCTCCTGCTTTTCTCCTCCTCCTCCTCCCCCTCCTCCTCCGACCCCGCCCCCTTCTCCTCCCCCTCCTCCTGGTCGTCCTGCTCCTCCTGCCTCGAGCCCCTGCTTGGCGCTGGGCCTCGGCGAGGCGGCGGGCCTCCGCCGGGCGCGCGGCCTGGGCGCGGCGCCGGGCCCCCGCGCGGCGCTCGGCCTCGGAGGGGCGGCGGGCCTCCGCCCGGCACCCGGCCTCGGGGCGCCACCCGTCCTGCGCCTGCGCAAAGGGCTCCTCCTCCTCCTCCTCCTCCTCCTCCTCCTCCTCCTCCTCCGCCCTCCTCGTCCTCCTCCTCCTCCTCCTCCTCCTCCTCCTCCTCCTCCGCCCTCCTCCTCCGCCTCCTCCGCCCTCCTCCTCCTCCTCCTCCTCCTCCTCCTCCTCCTCCTCCTCCTCCTCCTCCTCCTCCTCTCCCTCCTGGCACCGATAACCTGGCCTGGTATGAGCACGGGCGCCGCCGCGCTACAGTCGGGCCGCTGAAAGAAGGAACGCTAAATGAGGAACGAGGCCCCTTCTTGGCCCTGTAGGCGCCTCCGTGCTCCCAGGAGGGCAAGAGGAAGAGCACTGGAGGAACCTAAGGAACATCGAGCCCCTTCCGAACCCAAACTGTTCCTTATTTCAACGTGTTGATTGTAAGGGCTGTGACCCGGTTGGTCTGGACATCGGCATGGGCCTCGTCGTAGAAGCGCATCGCCGGGGCAGAAGAGATGTGGCGCATCTTGTTGCAGGCGTCATCAAGGTCGATCAGTTGGGTTTTGATGGCCGAGGACACGAGGCCACGCTTGAACAAGTCCGCTCTGCCTGCGCCAGTCCACGGGGCTGGTCGGCAAGCACCGCGGCTGTGAAGCGCAGCTGATTGCCATGTAGATCCACGAAGATGAGATACGGATCCATGGGGAAAACTGGGGGACTGGAGAATCGCGTGCGGCTGTTCAGAACCTGCCGTACTGAGCCAAAGATGGCAACGGACTCCTCCTCCTCCTCCTCCTCCTCCTCCTCCTCCTCCTCCTCCTCTTCCTCCATCAACTCCTCCTCCTCCTCCTCCTCCTTCTCCTCCTCCTCTCGTTCCTCCCTCTTCTTCTCTTGTATTTCCTCTCGCCGTGTAATTAACCCCTCCCCCAGGCCCCATTCCCCGCCCAACATCCTCGGAGAGGTCCGGAGCGCCCGCGAGGCTCGAATAGCCGGCCCAGCACCCTAGCGCGAGCAGCCCCGCCATCACGGCAAAGCCGATGGCCTGCCTGCGGCCGGAGCATGGCGGGCGGATCCTCCTCCTACTCCTCCTCCTCCTCCTCCTCCTCCTCCAGCTCTGACCCGTCTCACTCTCCTCCTGCTCGTCCAATACTCCTCTTCCACTGTCTCCTCCTCAGCCAACACCAGGTCCTCCTCCTTCCCGTTGTCATCACCATCGTCATCATCCTCATTCCCAACCCAATCATCATCATCGTAAGCATCATCATCAGCAGCAGCAGCATCATCATCACCAACATCATCATTACCAACAAAAGCATCAGCATCCTCATCCTCAGCCTCATCAGCAACATCAGCAGCATCATCAGTGTCGTCAACATCATCATCAGCAACATCGCCAACCAAATATATTCCTTGTCCCCCACCTGCTCCCTTTCACGTCCTCCTCCTCCTCCCCCTTCTCCTCCTCGTTACATCGTCCCTTTACTCCTCTTCCCCCCGTTCTACTCATCCTCTTTCTCCATGCCTCTGCCTCGTCCTCCTCCCGTAATATTCGTCTTCCTCGCGGTCCCGATGCCCCTGTCCTCCTCATCCTCCTTCTCCTCTTCCTCCTATTAGTACTCCTCTTCCCAATCAACATCACCATACTCATACTTATCATCATCGTCAGCATCGTCATCATTATCATCACTATTATTATTATCATCATCGTCATCAGCATCATCATCGTCATCATCGCCACCATCGCCATCAACATCAGCATCCGCATCATCATCACCGTCCTCGTCATTACGTTTCCTCGACGGCAGAGCCAAGGCACAAAGGATATACTAATCAATGTAATCTTGCAAAAAGTTCGATTCGTCGCAGAAGGCCTGCACCTCCTCAGGGCGCTCGGCGCGCGTGCCAGCCAAGGCGTTTCGCAAAGCAGGGACCCAAGCGGGCATGCTTACAAATCTGCTGCGGCCGTTTCGTCGGACTCAGAACTATCTAGGTCGGCGGGCTGCGGACATGGACGCACAGCGCCCCTGTCCGAACCTGGGGGGGCGGGGGGGAGGGGGCGGGAGCTGACAGCGAGCCTGGCAGCAGACCTCCGCTTACGAATCGTAATGCTGGGTGGACACGCTGGTGATGTGGCTGGCGCTCAGTATCTAGAGCCCTTCCGAGATCACATCCAGCCAGTGACCTACTTCGTCCTCGAGCCAGCCCGCTGGAGCCATTCCCTTGTGATGTCCTGCAATGTCCTCATTATTGAGGGCCCTTCGGATGAGCTCGCGTCCCTCCCAGGTGGATGCGCCCACAATGACCTTCATCTTCTGCGCCTCGTTTCCAGCTTGAGGTCACCCTTGTCAACTTCTGGTTCGGTGAACCCGCCCTCGGGCTGGCACTTGTCGAGGTATCATCATCGTCATCATCATCACCAATAGCAGCATCATCGTCGTCATATAATCATCATTCGCATCACCAACATCATCAGCATCGTAATCAGCATCCGCAGCATCAGTATCGTCGCCGTCGTCATCATCACCATCATCGGCATCAGCATCATCATCATCAGCATCATCAGCATCATCGTCATCGCCAGCATCATCGTCAGCAGCATCAGCATCAGCATCGCCACTATCATAATCATATCACCCGCATCAGCATCATCATCGCCACCATCACTAGCATTACCAGCACCACCATCATCATCACGATCGTAACCATATTCCTCCCCCTGAGCATCATCACCACCATCATCATCATCACCACCAACATAACCTCTGTAGCCAGTTTCGGGTTAAGGCGGCAAGTCCTGCCTGCGGCTGGCTCAGCGGCAACCCTGTCAGGGCTGTTCCGATGCCATGGAGGGGTTGTTCGCCAGCCGCGCGTGGCGGGCCTGATGGCTCAGGTAGATGGCGCTAGAGGACTTCGAGCACTGCTTGGGCTGCCCGTTCGAAGGCCTCATGGTCGCGGCTTACGCGGCCCCGAGGAGTGGTCACACCACGAGCCCAACGTGTGCTTCAACGTGCTGCGCGCTGCGCCATCTCACGGAACAGAAGGCCATCGAGTACGACAGGGAGTTGAGCATCGCCGCAACTGGCAGTTCATGGGGGTCGAACTTCTTCTGCACGGAGAGCGGCAATGAGCAGCACGGTGACGGCAGCCAGTCGGAGGGCACCCCCGCCATGGAGCATGGCGACATCACAGATCGGCTCAACGACCTGGAAGCGATGCTGTTCGACTGTTTTCCCCAACAATCCTGTGGAATTGGGTCCTCGTTTTGATGAGACGGTCCCCGCGTTCCTCCTTCCTTCCTTCCTCCTCCTCCTCCCTCCCCCCTGCGTTTCACCCACCCAGTACAGCGCTTCGTGGCCCCATAGGGAGCTCCACCGAAAGCTCCAGTGCCACCGCCCGCATGCGTCACACACCCCAATTTCGGCACACCCCTCACACGTTTCGTGGCCCCATAGGGAGCTCCACCGAAGGCCCCAGTGCCACCGCCCGCATGCGTTACCCACCTCCATTTCGGCACACCCCTCACACGTTTCGTGGCCCCATATAAGGAGCTCCACCGAAGGCCTTAGTGCCACCGCTCGCATGCGTTACCCACCCCCATGTCGGCACACCCCTCACACGTTTCGTGGCCCCATAGGGAGCTCCCCCGAAGGCCCCAGTGCCATCGCCCGCATGCGTTACCCACTACCATTTCGGAACACCTTTCACACGTTTCGTGGCCCCATAAGGAGCTCCACCGAAGGCCCCAGTGCCACCGCCCGCGTGCGTTACCCACCCACATGTCGGCACACCCCTCACACGTTTCGTGGCCCCATAGGGAGCTCCACCGAAGGCCCCAGTGCCACCGCCCGCATGCGTCACCCACACCCATTTCGGCACACCCCTCACACGTTTCGTGGCCCCACTCATAGGGAGCTCCACCGAAGGCCCCAGAGCCACCGCCCGCATGCGTTACCCACCCCCATTTCGGCACACCCCTCACACGTTTCGTGGCCCCATAATTAGGGAGCTCCACCGAAGGCCCCAGTGCCACCGCCCGCATGCGTCACCCACACCCATTTCGGCACACCCCTCACACGTTTCGTGGCCCCATAGGGAGCTCCACCGAAGGCGCCAGTGGCTGCGTTCGCATGCGCCCACTGCACCCATTTCGGCACGGCCCCAGTGGCTGCGTTCGCATGCGCCCACCGCGCCGATTTCAGCACACCTCTCACGCGTTTCGTGGCCCCATAGGTAATTCCACCGACGGCCCAAGTGGCTGCTTTCGCATGCGCCAACCGGACAATGTTTGGCACACCCCTCACACGTGTCGTGGCCCTATAAGAAGCTCCTCCGAATGCGGGGCATACAACGAGGGTACTCACAACTGCATATGGTTGGGTCCTTCGCCAGGCTAACTGTTTTCTTCGGCGCTCGCTACTGTGTCTGTCATCCATCTATCGGTCCACCGTGGACAAAATCGGGTTCCGCACCAAGGCATTGTCAAACAAAAACGATTATTGTCTGCCCGCTGGTGGCGGCAATTCTGGCTGCACAGACTACCAAGCATCGGGAGACATCCTCGAAAACCTTGGCCACACCCTCAGCAAATCGACATCCGCGCTGATGTCCAGGACGCATCCCTCTGGGTAACCTCTAAACAGTCTCCAGGCGGCCCGCGGCTTTGCGGCGGCTTCCTGCTTCCCGGCTGCACGCCACCGCGAGGCAAGCTCGACGCCGGCAACATGGCGATGCTCGAGGCGGAGGTCAATGCATAGGAGCCAGACGTCAAGACCACTGCGGGCCAGGTGCTCGCGCGCGAGTTCGAAGACGGCCCCAAGGAAATGACTGAGAAGGAGGTGATCGATGACTCTGCCAGCGTTGCTCTTCGCACCGCCTCGTGGGAGGTCCAGCCGCAGGGCAAGCTCGAGCGATCCGAGCAGAGGGACGTGAAGTTCGAGGACGGCTCAGAGGAGGTGATCGAGAAGGCAGCGTTCGAGGACATCGAGGAGAAGACCAAGAAATTCGAGGACGGCTCCAAGGAGATGATCGAGAAGGCGGTGTTCGAGGATCTTGCCCCGTGAGCCCTGCGCACCACCCCAATGGAAGCCCAACCGCAGGGCAATTTCGAGCACGGCTCCAAGGAGAAGAACGAGCAGTTCGAGGACGGCTCCGAGGAAATGATCGAGAAGGTTGTGTTCGAGGACATTGTCACGCTTGCTCTACGCAATGCCCTTTTAGAGGTCCAGCCGAAGGGTAAGCTCGAGCTCGGCTCCGAAGAGCAGAACGAGAAGTACTTCGCGTGGAAGCCGAAGGAACGGCTCTTCCCGGGCTACAGTGACCAGAAATCAGACTCGGGCACTGGAGGCGGCCTGCTGCTCTCGCTGGTGCCCGCCTTCCCGAGCCTCGAGAAGGTGGACTGCGCGGCCGTCGAGTAGGTCGACGGCATCGAGACGGAGTGCGGCGGCACGATGAAGATCAAGAAGGCTGTGCAGAGTACCCTCCACGGACAGCTGCAGGAAGGGCATCGCCACACAAAACCTGATGGCGGACCAGGCCGAGTCGAACGCGAAGCGCGGCCTCGAGAACGACTGCAACTTCAACGTGTGCGGCTTCCTTCAGGAAGAGACGCCTCTGAAATGCGATCAACAGCTGAAGACGGAGTAAGCAGTACAGGATACCCTCCTCTGTCTGCACAGCCCTGGCCTGACGTGTGATTCAATTCAGGTCATGCGCACGGAGTTGGATAAAACCCCCATCAAATCCTGGCCGGCGGCTGAGGCGCGCGCCGACGAGTTTTCTGTTTCCTGGGCTCTCGGTTTCCTGGTTCTCTTAGGTCCGCGGTCCATGGGTCGTCTCCGCGGGGCTCCTGGTTTCGATTCGTGGTCGTCGGGCTTCCTGGGGTCGGGCCGTCCCCGCAGGGGTGGGGCTTGCGCCCTCCGAGATCCCCTCCTGGGATCTCGGATAGTTCACGCCCCTTTCACGTGCTTTGCTGACATGCGTGCACGGCTCGCGCGTGGCACCGATTCGATTATATCTTGGGCCCCTCGGCTCCACACCGCAGGGGAACAGCATCATCAGCATCATCATAAGCAGCAGCAACAGCATCATCATTATCAGCATCATCATCATCATCATCATCATCATCATCATCATCATCATCATCATCATCATCATCATCATCATCATCATCATCATCATCATCATCATCATCATCATCATCATCATCATCATCATCATGATCATCATCATCATCATCAGATCAGCATCATCAGCATCATCATCATCATCATCATCAGCATCAGCATCATCATCACCATCACCATCATCATCACCATCACCATCACCATCACCATCACCATCACCATCATCCTCATCCTCATCCTCATCCCAATCCTCATCCTCATCCTCATCGTCATCCTCATCATGATTTTGATCATGATCATGATCATGATCATCAGCATCAGCATCAGCATCAGCATCAGCATCAGCATCAGCATCAGCATCAGCATCAGCATCAGCATCAGCATCAGCATCATCATCATCATCATCATCATCATCATCATCATCATCATCATCATCATCATCATCGACATCATCGAAAGAACGTGTTCTACCGCTGCGTGGGGGTTCACTGGGGGTTCCAAACCCGTCCCCCCCCCTCGAAAACCGGGGGGGGTCACTACCGGTTCGACCCCCCCCCCCCAAGTCCATCATGAAAAGGGGGGAAGGGGGGGGTCACTACTGGTTCGAACCCCCCCCCTCGAAAACCAGGGGGGGGTCACTACCGGTTCGAACCCCCCCCCAGTCCATCATGAAAAGGGGGGGGGGTCACTACTGGTTCGAACCCCCCCCCCCCCTCGAAAACCGGGGGGGGTCACTACTGGTTCGAACCCCTTCCCCCCCCCCCCCTCGAAACGGAGGGGGTCACTGCCGGTTCGACCCCCCCCCCAGTCCATCATGAAAAGGGGGGGTCACTACTGGTTCAAACCCCCCCCCCTCGAAAACCAGGGGGGGGTCACTACCGGTTCGAACCCCCCCCCCAGTCCATCATGAAAAGGGGGGGGGTCACTGGTTCGAACCCCCCCCCCCCTCGAAAACCGGGGGGGTCACTACCGGTTCGAACCCCCCCCCCCCTCGAAAACCAGGGGGGGTGTCACTACAGGTTCGAACCCCCCCCCCTCCCTCGCCGCCGGCAAACGATGCCCGCTCCTCAAGACACATGGAGAATGGTGGGGATGTTGGAACATTGGTGGGAACGGTGGTGGTGGGGACAGTGGTGCGGGGACAGTGGGACAGTGGTGCGGACAGTGGTGGGGACGGTTGTGGTGGGGACAGTGGTGAGGGGACAGCGGGACAGTGGTGGGGACAGTGGGACAGTGGTGGGGACGGTAGTAGTGGGGACAGTGGTGAAGGCGGTGGTGAGGACAGTGGTGGGGCAGTAGTACAGTGGGGAGAGTGGTGGGGACAGTGGGGATAGTGGGACAGTGATGGGGACAGTGGGGACGGTAGGACAGCACAGTGGGAAAGCGGCGGGGACAGTGGGACAGTAGTGGGAACAGTGGGGACAGTGGGACAGTGGTGGGGACCGTGGGGAAAGTGGGGAGAGTGTGACCGTGGTGAGACAATGGTGGGGAGAGTGGGGACAGTGAGACACGGGTGGGGGGCACTGGTGGGGACAGCGGGGACAATGGTGGGAACTGTGGGGATCGTGGGACAGTGGTGGGGACAGTGGTGGTGGGGACAGTGGTGTGGGGACAGTGGGAATGTGGTGGAAACAGTGGGACAGTGGAGGGTACAGTGGTGGTGGCGACAGTGGTGAAGGCGGTGGCGAGGACGGCGGTGGGATAATGGGACAGAGGTGTAGTAGGGACAGTGGTGGGGACAGTGGTGGGAACAGTGGGACAGCTCAGTGGGACAGCGGCGGGGACAGTGGGACAGTGGGACAGTGGGGACAGTGGTTGGGGCCGTGGAGAAAGTGGGGAGAGTGGAACCGTGGTGGGAACAGTGGTGGGGACAGTGGGGACAGTGCGACAGTTGTGGGGGCACTGGTGAGGACAGTGGTGACGGTGGTGGGAACAGTGGGGACAGTGGTGGTGAGGACAGTGTTGCTGGGGACAGCAGTGGGGTGGGGGATGTGGTGCGGACGGTGGTAGGGACCGAGAGTTGCGTGCTGGCGGTGAGCGTGGGGGGGGGGGAGGGGTTTCGAACCGGTAGTGACCCCCCCCGGTTTTCGAGAGGGGGGGGTTCGAACCGGTAGTGACCCCCCCCGGTTTTCGAGGGGGGGGGGTTCGAATTGGTAGTGACCCATCCCGGTTTTCGAGAGGGGGGGGGGGTCGAACCGGCAGTGACCCCCTCCGTTTTCGAGGGGGGGGAGGGGGAAGGGGTTCGAACCAGTAGTGACCCCCCCAGGTTTTCGAGGGGGAGGGGGGGTTCGAACCAGTAGTGACCCCCCGGTTTTCAGGAGGGGGGGGGGGGTGCTCGAACCGGTAGTGAACCCTCCGGTTTTCTGGAGAGGGGGGGGAAGCGGGGGGAGTTTGCCGGGGGGTGGGGTGGGGGTTCCAGCAGGGGGGGGGATTTTCGGAGGGGGGGGGGACCCCCGGGTTCTGGAGGAAGAGGGGGGGAATTTTCCATAGTAAAGCGGCGGTGGATCACGCTCTCTCACATCATCATTGTAATCATCATCATCATCATCATCATCATCATCATCATCATCATCATCATCATCAGCAGCAGCAGCAGCAGCATCATCATCATCGACAGCATCATCATTATCCTCCTCATCCTCATCTTCATTAACATCCTCTTTATCCTCAGCCTCATCACCACCATCATCACCAACACCACCACCACCAGCATCATCATCATCAGCAGCATCATTACCATCAGCATCAGCAACATTATCGTCTTCGTCTTCGGTGTCAACAACATCAGCATAATCATACATTACCACTGATACTCTATATCATCAGCAGCAGCAGTAACATCACCATTGTCCGTAGCATCAGCATCATCTTCATGCTCACCATCATGATCATTATGATCATAATCATCATAATCAGCATCATGATCATAATCATCATAATCAGCATCAGCATCAGCATGATCTTCATGCCATCAGCATCATAATCAGCATCATGATCATACTCAGCATCAGCACCATTATCATAATGATCATTATCCTCATCCTCATCCTCGCCATCCTGCTCGTCATCACCATAATGATGAACATCAGAAACAGCATCAATATCATTAGCACCAGTATCATCATCAAAACCGTCCCTATCACCATCATCAACATCATTACCATCATCATTCTCAGCAGCGTCATCATCAATATCACCACCAACATCATCATCACCATAATCATCACCGCCATCATCAACGTCATCATGATCACCATCATCGCATCATTATCATTTCATCATCATCGTCATCATCATCATCAACATCATCATCATCATCATCATCATCATCATCATCATCATCATCATCATCATCATCATCGCCATCACCACCAATTCGCGGGTCGAGCAACGTTTCATTCCCGTCAACGAAATGATGCATACTGGTCAAATAAATATGTCTGGTCAGAATAATGATTCCCGGCCCCCTAGGCGCGATCCGTGTGAGGGGTGTGCCACACTTGTCCAGCCAGCCGACCAACCAGCCAACCAGCCCGTCCTGGTGCATTGTTTGAGGATGTCGCACTCCGCTAGGCCAAGATTAAATTTCGTGACCCAAAATGACGGCGGGGCGGGGGAACGGAGGAGTGTGACGGAATGGAATGGACTGGACGGAATGGGATGGAATCAAGGGGCCCAAGGACACACAAATGAATACACACAAATAAAAGGATCCCCCATATTTTCAAATATTCTCTGGGTTTTTGTCTTCCCGCCCAATTCCCATATTTTCCCATATTTCGTGAGGATCGACGATTCATTGTGTCTGTGTTGTTTCCCCTTTCTGATGGAAGGGAGGAGTGGGCGGGATGGAATGTCGTGAAATGGAATGGAATGGAATGGAGTGGGAGGCGGGCGCGGAGGGGCGAGCGGGCGCTTTGGCGGGCGGGCGGGCGTGCAGACGTGCGGGCGGGCGAACTGTGTTGCGTTGCATTTGCGTGGCACTGCATTGCGTTGCATGTGCTGCGACTTGCATAGCACTGCCCTGCACTGCACTGAATCCTGTTTCGTTGCATTGCGTTGCACTGCGCTGCATTGCATTTGCAATACGTTGCATTGCAATCAATTGCGAAGTGGGGGGGAGAGGAGAGAGGGGGGAGGAGGGAGGAGGGAGGAGGGGAGGGGGAGGAGGGAGGAGTAGCACATTACATTGCAGTGAGGAGGAAGGAAGGGGGAGGCGGGGAGGGGGAGGAGGGAGGAAGCGGGAGGGAGGAAGGAGGATGCGGCATGGAGGAGGGAGGAGGATGAGGGAGGGAGAACGACGAGGAGGAGGATAGGATAGTATTTGTTGTTCGCCTCCTTGGCCCTTGTCATCGTCGTCGTCGTGGCAAAATGTGCGTGTTCGGCCCCACGGCGCTGCTACGTGACGCGTTGCTTTGCATTGCATTGCGTTGCAATGAATTGCGTTGCGTCCTGCTGCGTTGTGTGGCATTGCACTGCGTTGAATTTATATTGCGTTTGCAATACGTTGCAGTGCAATAAATTGCCGGCAAGTGGGAGGAGGACAGGAGGGAGGAGAAGGGAGAACGGTAGAGGAAGAAGGAGATGTGAGGAGGGAGGAGGGGGGAGGGGAGGGGAGGGGAAGGAGGGAGGAAGTGAGAGGAAGGAGAGAGGAGGAAGGATGGAGGAGGGAGAAGGGAGGGGGGAGGAAGAAGGACGAGGATAATAAGATAGAATTGTTGTTCGCATCCCTGGCCCTCGGCATCGTCGTCATCGTCGTCGTTCCCCGCGCGTCAGCGCGGCCTGCAGGACACGCCGGAAAGTCCCAAGGGGTCAGCGCCTCCGCATGGGTTTTGCAAATCGAGCTGCGGGTGGGTGGGTGGGGTGATCGCGCGACCGGTGGAGTTGACAACTCACTAGTGAGCACTGGTTAGTGGCACCACGTATATCTCACCACATCGATTGCACCACATAGGCTGCACAACAGCTATTGCCAGAAGCAAACAGTTTGGGGCCCACGCTGGCTGCCATGTGCTGCAATGAGGGAATTGCACATTGCTGTTCTTGTTGATAAGCCAGTACGCGTGCAGTTGCTGCATCTGACAGGGATGAAAGAGGGGGCGGCAAGGGAACCCCGTGGGATGGTCTGAGCTGATACTTCAGAGAAACCATGGGGCAGAGTCAAACTTAAATTTCAGTGTCCCAGAGGGCTGTCGATGAGTCTGGGGGCGGGGGGGGGGGGGGGGCGAGTCGATGTTCCTGCCAGAGTTAGGTCGGGCCTGTCCCCCTACAGGGGGGCTTTGGGATGAAAAGTCAAAACCAAATGCCCCCCAAAATACTCCCAAATGGTCAGAAGGAGCTCAAGCATCGTCCCCAGACTATTGCTGTACTACTCTTGCATGTTCCTCCTGTAGAGGGACAGGCCCGATTCTCATGCTGGACAGGAGAACCTGCGCGCGGCGGCGACGGGGCGGCAACCGGGCGGCCACGGCGGCAACACATCCGCCAGGCCGACGCGCGGGCTCCGACGGCGGGCGGCGGCGGGCGGCGGCGAGGAGGGAGGCGGCGACGGGGCGGCGACGGCGGCGACTGCGCAGCCGCAGGACCGCCAACGGCAGGCCCAGGCGACGGGAGACGATGGGGCGGAGGCGGGGCGGCGGGGGCAGCCGCCAGACCGACGCGCAGGCCCAGTTCTTTGGACAACAGGTGAGAATCCCTAAGTGCAAGCACTGGTTGGGGAATATGTCATCTCTCTCTCTATATATATATATATATATATATATGCAGACGAATATACATATATATAGACTGAGAGAGAGAGAGGAAGGGATAGAAATAACTAAACAAAACACATAGCGGGAGAGAGAGAGAGAGAGAAAGAGAGAGACGGCGGGGGCACCCCGGACCCACCTGTGAAGGCCCAGGTGGATATCAAACCCCCTGGTCTCAGCAACCGGTGGTCGTCGCAGTGGGCGTGGCCTGTTGTACCCACGCTCAAGGCCTCGGACAAAAATAGCGAACACGCTTGCCACACTCATCTGTCATCACTCCCCACCTCCCCCCAATGTTCAAAGTTGGCGGTGGGTCCGATGAGTTGCACCTCGACCGCAGTCTCCCCCGCGAGTGCAAATTTGAGTTTGGGGGGCAGAGGGGTGTTCAATAATTGTTTCCCTCTACCGACCGACACTCGTCCAAAATCCAGCGGGTAAAGCCGTAACGGAAGTACTGCTCTCAGCTCATGGCAGTGGTCGTAGTCGTGGAGGCACGAATGGTCGCTGTTCAGAAAATGAAAGACGCTTCTGGGTCACATGATCGATGCCGCTCTGTTGGCCCAAGTCTTCTCAGTCACAGCATCCGCCCAACCAAATGTATCACTGTAATGTGAACCAGCAGCGTGGCCGAAATCAACCGCTAACAGTTGACATGCATGTCGGGGAGCACTGCGGCTGACAGCCGAACGGAACCAGCAACGCTACATGGATCGGCGTCCTCTTTACCAACATGGCCGTTACAATCAGGACCAGTTCGAAAAGCACGTCCGCGATCAGAAGGAGTGTGAGCATCCGAGCAGCATCATGTGTCTATCTAGCATCACTGGGAACAAACATGCCTTCAATAAATCACCGTGGTGCTTCCCGTTGGCGTCTGCTCGTCGGATGCTCGCTGTCGCGAACGGCGTAGCATCGTCGCTGTCATTACAAGTATTATCATCCTCAAGCTCATCCTTGCACCATCACCACCATTATCACCAACACCAGCGCGATCGCCATCACCGTCACCAATATTAACATCAGCATCGTCAACATCGTCTTCATGTTCAACATCATCACCATCACCGTCCATCCCCCCTCCTGTCTACTCAGGTGAGGTGCGCACAAAAGGCTGCCTGCCGTAACCCATGTCCACGGGCCGCTCTTCCGGGGCGTCCGGCATGCAGTCGCCCTTGAGCATGGGCGGCGCGCAAGGTGTAGTTTCGGCCAGGGTTGCTCGTGGCAAACCGATCAATGTCTTCCCCAGATCACGGTGATATTCGGGGGCGCGCAACAATGGATTAGCGATCCATGGATTTGGCGCGCGGTCGACTGATCCATGGATCGGGGGAGGTGCCCTCCCCACAATGCGGCCGGTGCCGCCTCGCTCGGCGGCGGAAATCCGCCATTTCCCATGGAAACGGGACCCGTCGCTAATCCACGCCCCCGTAATCCATGTCTGCGATCGCCCGAGACAGCAGCCTTGCCGACTCTGCGCCGCGCTGGAAGAGCACGGCAAGTGACCCCGGGTGATCGGAGGGCGCAAAGGCTGCTCATGCTGCTGCCCCCCTCTGTCCCTCCCTCTGTCGCCGACGCCGCCTCCTGCGCCCATCGGAACTCCGGCGGCCGCCCAGGAGGGGCCCGGCAATCAGCGGCGGAGTTTGTTGTGACCCGTCCCGACGTTCAGGAGCCCATGCCCCGAAAGCTGGGCACACGCGAAACTGAATCAGGGATCCGTGGATCTGGCGCGTGGGTGCCAGATCCACGTCAGGAGGTGACGTGTGAGCGGCAGTGTCCTCTGCGAGGCCCACACTGCAACATAACCTGTGTCCAACCTCCTCCTCCTCCTCGACCACCTCCTCCTCCACCACCTCCTCCTCCTCCTCCTGCGACGAACCTGTCGACATGCATGCCCTCGCGGTCTGGGTGACGAAGCGCGATCCCATGGATGCGCGGTCGAGCGGACACATTCGGGCCGAGCATCCGCGCAGTGCCGCCCCGTATCCACGAGGTCGCGGCCGAAGGAGGTGGACCGCGAGACCGTGGACATGGAGACGGTGATGAAGCGTTTGCTCGGCGCGTCGCGGCGGCTCCCCCTGCGACACGCCATCCTTATGGGGACGGGAGGGCTGGGACACGCTCGGACCCCAGAAGCTTGGGGACCGGGACGCGCACAGTGCCGCGCCCCAAACCGGTGGGCCAACACAAGCTGCACGACAGGTTGAGCCAGCGTTGCTGACCGCAGGTCTTCCGCCCAAGCACTCCCTTCACGCCATGAGCTCCGGCGGGAGCGGGAAGCGGTTTCTACCACCACCACCACAAGTAGGAGGGAGAGAGGGTCCTCCTCCTCCTCCTAAGTAAGAGGGAGAGAGGGTCCTCCTCCTCCTCCTCCTCCTCCTCTTCTTCTTCTTCTTCTTCCTCCTCCTCCTCCTCCTCCTCGCCCTCCACCTCCTCCCCCCTCCAACATATGGTGGTGGTGGTGGAAAAACCAGGCCCATCGGATGGTGCAGGGTCGAGCTGGAGCGTGCCCGCGCGCCCCGAGGAGGGGCGCCAGGCCCCCTGCTGCTCCAGGGCAGCGTGCCCCCCTCCCCCCCCCACACCACGCCCCCCACTCACCCTTCCCCCGCGGCCCCCCCACATTTAGGTCGTGCATGTTTCCATGCAAAGGGATTCTGAGGCGAAAAATTGAAAATACCCCAATATGAAAAATACACCCAAAAAAGACCTCCCCAAAATACCCCAAAAACACGAACAACAAATCTTCCCTTATGTTTGAAGACTCCTCCGATAGAGGGACAGGTCCGACTCAACCCCACACGCAGCCCTCCTCCCTGACCCTCCCTGCCTCATGCCGCCCCCCCTCTTCCACTCCCTCCCTCCCTGCTGCCTGCCCCACCCCCTCGCAGCCTGTCCTCTCTTCTACGTCTTGCAGCTCCTGGCTGCGTGGAGCAGGCCAGACGTTAGGATCTGCAGTTGAAGCCATCAATACCCAACCCTTGGCGAATGGCGCGGCTGACGAGGCTCGGTGAGGCTCCGCAATCGAGTTCCAGATCGAATCGAGCCGAGCGACGAGAATACCCTCGGCACCCACGTATCAGGGGAGCCAAAGAAACATAACATGAAGAACAATAATACCAAAATTCGCCGGCCCCCTTGCGGGACCATCAGGCTGCGAAGATTAGGCTTGCAGCTCCCTGTGCCAGTTGCAGCTTCCAGTTTCCACTGTTACAGTCCTGCTTTCTGCTTCCTTACTGTTAACTGTTGCTGAACGCGCGAGGGGGGGGGGGGAGCCAAAAAGCGGTCTTTTCAGCGTCCCCGAATCGCATTGTCTGAATTCCCAGAGGGTCGTGGGACACGTGAAAATACATAAAATTCGCGTCCCCGAGGCCATACACCCGGAGTAAAGTACTCCATATTCGCGTCCCCGAGGCCATAAACTTTCGTAGATGATGCAATGTTCGCGTCCCAGAAGCCATAAACCCTCGCAAATTACCTTATATCCGCGTCCCCGAAGCCCTCGTAAATTATGCTAACGGAGTTCCCCACATAAAGATGTTACGGGGTTCCATTGCTTCTTGTCTGCGCTCTGGTGGGGCCTCCCTGGAGGGGTGGGAGGGGAACGAAACCTGATGAATAATATGGTGTGCGAATACCCTGCCCGCTCTGGTGGGGCCTCCCTGGAGGGGTGGGAGGGGCACGAAACCTGATAAATAATATGGTGTACGGATACCCTGCCCGCTCTGGTGGGGCCTCCCTGGAGGGGTGGGAGGGGCACGACACCTGATAAATAACATGGTGTGCGAATACCCTGCCCGCTCTGGTGGGGCCTCCCTGGAGGGGCGGGAACGGCACGAAACCTAATAATAAAATATGGCGTGCGAATACCCTGCCCGTTCTGGCGGGGCCTCCCTGGAGTGGCGGGAGGGGCACGAAACCTGATAAATAACATGGTGTGCGAATGCCCTGCCCGCTCTGGTGGGGCCTCCCTGGAGGGGTGGGATGGGCAGGATACCTGATAAATAACATGGTGTGCGAACACCCTTCCCGCTCTGGTGGGGCCTCCCTGGAGGGGTGGGAGGGGCACGAAACCTGATAAATAGCATGGTGTGCGAATACCCTGCTCGCTCAGGCGGGGCCTCCCTGGAGGGATGGGTGGGGCAGGAAACATGCTAAATATCATGGTGTGCGAATACCCTGCTCGCTCAGGCGGGGCCTCCCTGGAGGGGTGGGAGGGGCACGAAACCTGATACATAACATGGTGTGCGAATACCCTGCCCGCTCTGGCGGGGCCTCCCTGGAATGTTGGGAGGGGCGCGAAACCTGATAAATAACATGGTGTGCGGATACCCTGCCCGCTCTGGTGGGGCCTCCCTGGAGGGGTGGAGGGGCACGAAACCTGATAAATAATATGGTGTGCGAATACCCTGTCCGCTCTGGTGGGGCCTCCCTGGAGGGGTGGGAGGGGCACGAAACCAGATAAATAACATGGTGTGCGAATACCCTGCTCGCTCAGGCGGGGCCTCCCTGGAGGGGTGGGAGGGGCACGAAACCTGATAAATAACATGGTGTGCGAATACCTTGCTTGCTCAGGCTGGGCCTCCCTGGAGGGGTGGGAGAGGCACGAAAACTTATAAATAACATGGTGTGCGAATACCCTGCTCGCTCAGGCGGGGCCTCCCTGGAGGGGTGGGATGGGCAGGATACCTGATAAATAACATGGTGTGCGAACACCCTTCCCGCTCTGGTGGGGCCTCCCTGGAGGGGTGGGAGGGGCACGAAACCTGATAAATAGCATGGTGTGCGAATACCCTGCTCGCTCAGGCGGGGCCTCCCTGGAGGGATGGGTGGGGCAGGAAACCTGATAAATATCATGGTGTGCGAATACCCTGCTCGCTCAGGCGGGGCCTCCCTGGAGGGGTGGGAGGGGCACGAAACCTGATAAATAACATGGTGTGCGAATACCCTGCCCGCTCTGGCGGGGCCTCCCTGGAGAGGTGGGAGGGGCACGAAACCTGATAAATAATATGGTGTGCGAATACCCTGCTCGCTCAGGCGGGGCCCCCCTGGAGGGGTGGGAGGGGCACTAAACCTGATAAATAACATGGTGTGCGAATACCCTGCTCGCTCAGGCGGGGCCCCTCTGGAGGGGTGGGAGGGGCACGAAACCTGATAAATAACATGGTGTGCGAATACCCTCACGGGGCACGGAAATAACATGGTGTGCGAATACCTGGCTCGCTCAGGCAACTGGAGGGGTGGGAGGGGCACGAAATGATACACATGTGCGAATACCCTGCTCGCTCAGGCGGGGCCTCCTGATAACACTGCTCGAGGGGTGGGAGGGGCACGAAACCATGTAAATAGTATGGTATTCCGATACCCTCCTCGCTCAGGCGGGGCCTCCCTGGAGGGGTGGGAGGGGCACGAAACATGTAAATAAGTATGGTGTGCGATACCCTCCTCGCTCAGGCGGGGCCTCCCTGGAGGGGTGGGAGGGGCACGAAACCATGTAAATAGTATGGTATTCCGATACCCTCCTCGCTCAGGCGGGGCCTCCCTGGAGGGGTGGGAGGGGCACGAAACCATGTAAATAGTATGGTATGCGATACCCTCCTCGCTCAGGCGGGGCCTCCCTGGAGGGGTGGGAGGGGCACGAAACCATGTAAATAGTATGGTATTCCGATACCCTCCTCGCTCAGGCGGGGCCTCCCTGGAGGGGTGGGAGGGGCACGAAACCTGATAAATAACATGGTGTGCGAATACCCTCCTCGCTCAGGCGGGGCCTCCCTGGAGGGGTGGGAGGGGCACGAAACCTGATAAATAAAATGGTGTGCGAATACCCTGTTCGCTCAGGCGGGGCCTCACTGGAGAGGTGGGAGGGGCACGAAACCTGATACATACTATTGTGTGCGAATACCCTGCTCGCTCAGGCGGGGCCTCCCTGGAGGGGTGGGAGGGGCGCGAAACCTGATAAATAACATGGTGTGCGAATACCCTGCTCGCTCAGGCGGGGCCTCCCTGGAGGGGTGGGAGGGGCACGAAACCTGATAAATAACATGGTGTGAGGAAAGGCATGGTATGGTATGGGATGGTGGATGCATGGTATGGTATGGTAAGGTATGGTCTGGAGTGGCATGGTATTGGTATGGTATGATACAATATGGGATGGTGGAGGAAGCGAGAGGAGGAGGAGGAGGAGGAGGAGGAGGAGGAGGAGGAGGAGGAGAGGATGTTCTGGGAAAACAAGAACCCCACTCAAGATGTGGGGAATTACTTCGTAATCGCGCCCCCGAAGCCATAAACCCTGGTAAATGATTGAATGCTCACGCCCCCGAAGCCATAAATCATTGAAAACTATACCATATTCGCGTCCCCAGGGCCATAAACCTTCGTAAACTTCACCATCCTTATGTCCCCGAGGCCCAATATTTGCCCCCCGAAGCCATAACCCTGCGTAAATTGTACAATGTTTGCGTCCCCGAGGCCGCTCGTAAATTACTCAATATTCGCTTCCCCGAAGCCATAAACCATCGTAATTGACGAGATATTCGCGCCACCGAAGCCATAAACCCTCGTAAGTCAGTACTGGCCCTCGCGTGAAGACCCAGCACTGCTTCACGTCAGCGTCCAGACATCCCAACACAGTTCTGGCAAGTCCCATTCTAAGAGAGGGGGGCCGGCGGCATGGGGGCGAAGCCCTTACGGATATATCAATACAAGTGCTAATACGTGTGAGAAACATGTAAGCATACTAGTAATGATTGATCATACTAAGAAGCAGCAATAATAAAACTCAGACTAACAGTACTAATGCGAATATACGAAAATAGCAACAACAATGCGATTACGAATGCAACTAATCATACTAATACTAGACATAAAACTAGCGATCGTAAAACCATGACGACGACGACGACGACGACGACGACGACGACGACGACGACGACGACGACGACGACGACGACGACTACTACTACTACTACTACTACGACTACTACTACTACTAATAATAATAATAAGAAGAATACTACTACTACTACTACTAATAATAATAATAATAATAATAATAAAAAAATAATAATAATAATAATAATAATAATAATAATAATAAGGGGTACTACTCATGATAATACTAATAATACTGATAAGAATAATGATAATAATAACAATCACGGTTGCACTCGTACTGGTAATAATCACAATAATACTAAGGATAACACAAAGGAAAGCCCCCCCCCACACACGAAGAGCCTTGCCCTTCCCAACGTAGACGTACTTCGTCTCGACCTGAGCGAGCGGGGCGCTTGCCTCCACCCTGCCTCCTCCTGCTGCTGCCGGTGCTGCTGCCGTTGACCCCGCGCAAGCGGAACACCTCGCCGCTCGAGTTAATCAGCCTCGGTCTTGTCAGTACCCCCGAGACTGCCAAGCAAAAACCGATGCCAAGATTAAGAATGTACCATCAGAAACCGAAGGGCCCTGAAGATCGGCACCCGAGATAAGGTGATGCCGATCACAAGGATCGGAATTTGAATATGTCTCAAGCTGGTAGAGGGTCGCTCACGCCGCGCGTCCGCGCAAACCACCCCTCCCTGCCGCATCGCACTGCGTGGCCTCAGCCTCGCTGGCGCCTTCGCGGCGCCCAGGCCCGCCGCCAGCGCCGCCGACGACTCTCGGTGGTCCCCCCGTCGCCGCTGGGTCATCAGGCCTCCCTGGTCCCCCCCGCCCGCTGGTAGGCCGACGGCGGCCTCGGGCGGCCTGTTCGGGCCGCGGCGGCGGGCAGCCGCTCTCCCCGCTCCGGGGGAGGGGCCCGGAAGCCTCGCTCCTCATCCCCTGCCTCCCTCCTCCTCACGGGCGGCGATCGTATCCCCTAGGGGGCCACATGCGAGCCCTACCCTTACCCCCCACGATTTCTGAGGGGGAGGGTGGGAGCTCCCGAGAAGAGTTAACCCCACCCTCCCCCTCAGATACCGTGGGGGGCAGGAGTAGGGTTTGCATGTGGCCCCTCGGCGATCCCGTGGCTGCACGGTCGCAAGAGTACGTGCCGAGCGGGGCATCCGCGAACAGACGCCCCGTGTCCACGGGGTCGCGGCCCAGGGGTCCAACTCGCGGGGCCGTGGATACGGACATGTTTCTTGCCCGCGACCTCTTTCCTCCTCCTCCTCCTCCTCCTCCTCCTCCTCCTCTTCCTCCTTCTCCTCCGTCCTCCTCCTCCTCCTCCGCCTCCTCCTCCTCCTCCTCCTCCTCTTCCTCCTCCTCCTCCTCCTCCTCCTCTTCATCCTCCTCCTCCTCCTCCTCCTCCCGTCCTCCTCGAGCCCACGGACCAACACTCGTGCCAGGAGGGAGCTCATCGACCGGGTAGTCCCATGAAGACCTGGTCAGGGAGGGCCACTCTCCAAGCATGCCGAGGTCCGCCGCGATCGGCGGCGTGCTGCTGCTGCTGCTGCTGCTGCTGCTGCTGCTGCTGCTGCTGCTGCTGCTGCTGCTGCTTACTGGGATAGGTGCTACTCAGCAAGCGGTACGAGAAGACCGCAGTGGCAGCAGGAGACGTGAATCAGAGCTTCCAGGTCGCGTGCGGCGCTGGCATCCCAGCGAGGCTCGCGGGCAGGAGCTGAACCTCCCCCAGGAGGCTGAGGCGAAGCGAGGGGAGGTCAGGAGGGCTTGAGGAGGCCTCAGCGGGGGGCCATGGATGCTTGTGCAGGGAAGAGATCCCTCTAAGTTTCAGAGCTCTGGGGAAGAAGGGCTGGGGAGGAGGCCCCTGCAGGCGCTTGCGTGGGAGGACGACAGAGCATAGAGGGAAGACTGAAACGCTATTGCCTGCAAAGGGGGGGGGAGAAAAGGAATACTGGGAAGAGGAAGGGTAGGGGTAAGGGAATAGGGTTAAGTCGGGCCTGTCCCTCTACAGGGGGAATTTTCAAAACAAATCAACAATATGGGGACTATTGGTTGAGGATGGTTTGGCCTTTTTGGGGTATCCTAGGGTATGTTTTCTTTTTCGTAGAAAATCCCCCTGTAGGGGGACACTCCCGACATAAGAATAGGGTGAGGGATGGGAGGGACCGTACATGGACTACATATTCGAACCCTTACACATTTGAGGGAGATTCTAAATCACCCCCGCGCCCCCGACATCAATGTTGATCTCAGTACAGGCGGTGCTTTAGGGTCCGAATATTTCTGTCCACTCACGCCCCCCCCCGTCGCCACGCCATCAATATTAATTTCGGGGGGTCTGGGGGGCATCTTGGGCCACAGGATTCGAATATAATGTCCATGTACTGGAGGAGCGGCCGGGGAGGGGAGGGCATGTTGGTGAGGAGAGACAGGGGACGGGTGGGGGAAGGAGGGAAGGGGAGGGGAGAGGAGTGGGGGGAAGGAGGGAGGGGGGGAAGGGGGAGTGAAAGTGCAAAGGCGAGTTGTTTTTTCCAGCGCGATATTTTGGGAGAAGAAGGAGGGGCAAGCAGGAGGGGACCACCGCAAGAGCTCTCGGGTCACCTGTGCAGTCCGTAACGACACGCGGCAGTTATTGACCAGCGGCTTTATTTACAACAACATCCCAAAAGTAAAAAAGCACTGGCCGAATGTGCGAAGGTGAATATGTAATGGGAAAGAGAGGGGGGGAAGCGACGGAGATGAGGAGGACCAGCAGGAGCAAGCAGCATCATCAGGAGCCAGAACGGGAGCGAGAGGTAAGATGCATATCCAGAGCAGGTGTCCGCGAGGAGGCTGCGGCAAGGAGCAACCTGAAGAGAGCGTGCAGAACTCGATGCAGGCTGCAGGCCAGAGGGAAGAGGAGGGAGAGAAGGAGCGGGGAGGATCGGGCGCGCCGAAGAAAAGGGCCGGGAAGGGGGGGGTAGCGCATCATGGCCCGAGGCATGGGCGCGGACGAGAGGGGGGGGGGGCAGGGAATACACTGAAAGACGAGGGGGACGTGAAGTATGCGAGATGCCATGTCCCCAGCCACGGAATCCACACACACGCAGACACACGCACACACACAGACACGCCAGGGTTTCTGAGCTCCAGACTAGTGGGTGGATGAACTATCCGCGCTGGGCCGATTCACGACGGAGCCGAACTTACAACGCTCCATCGCAGTGGCTACGACCTGACTGGCGCCGACAAATCAGGCGCCCCAGCTTCTGAGCATCGTTTAACCGATCCCCATCCCCGGCGGCGTGGCCTGAGCCCCGTTTTTTCTCATTCGATCGAAGGGGATTGCGCATGTCGGCTACACGCAAGAGTGACCCTGGCTAAGAGTGACCTTTGGTGCGCGGCTTCTTGGGGGCCGCGGGGCGACCAAACCTGTGCCCGCACCAAAGGTCACTCCAAAGGTCACTCTCACTCACGTCTAGTCGAGCATGGGGATGGGGGTCCGCTAAACGATACTGCGCTTCGGCGTCGTCACCCGCCCGGGCTGGTCTGGGGCCCCGGCAACGTAGTCGCCCTGCCCGCTGCCTGGGGGCTCGGTGAGGCGCACGGTGGCGGCGCTGCGCGCACGCTCGGCCATCTGCACCAGTACACGCAGGCATACAGTCGGGGCGTTGACTCGGGTCGGACGTGTCCTCCTACAGGGTGATTCTGGACGAAAGGCAGAACATAGTTTAAACATTTTCACCGATAATCCAAAAATAATTGAAAATTCGTCCCCATGCTATTTTTGGATCATTTTTGAATTTGCCTCCTGTAGAGGGACGTGCCCGACTGAAACGTTGACCTAAGGAGCCGTAAATAAGGAAAGAGGCACCTTTTTCCTCATACATTAAACTTCGAGTTCCTGGTGGAATATCTCGGGAAAACCTGAGGCAAACTGATACACAAGCAGGGAACACCGAGCCCCTCCCCAACGAAAAAGGATCCTTCTGCAGCGCCCCGACTGTACACAGCCGCGAGCAAGCGAACCGACAAGCCCAATTGTGCAACCACTCACTCACAACGAAGCATCGGACCAGACAGCCAACTTGACTGACTGACTGTCTGTCCACCACCTGGGTATTTGACCAAACAATGCAAACAAGCGGGCCGTTCAACCCATACACCCACCGCGCGCACCGGGTCCACAGTCAACGAGACGAACTCGCATGTCCTCTGGACGGAGCGTACAGGATACCGCCGCGAGGTGAGCGAATGACAGCTGGCAATGTCGCCCAGAACCGACAGCGGCACTGCTGGGCAAGCAACGTCCGCCCCAAATGGGCAACGTCGACGGCGACACCGCCACCGAATACCGATCCAAGCGAACAGGAGCTGCCGTCGGTCTCGGTCCCCAGGGTCTTTCGTCTCTGTGTCGGTCAAGGGCAGGGAGAGCAAAGAAGATCGGCACCACCGCCGCCGCTGGCACCGCCGCCGCCAGGGTGTCCTCCTTGGTGGGGTGGGGCGTTCCACCTATTGTGAGGCGCCGCTCGAGACACCTCCAATCTCCACCTGCGGGAGGCATCGTGGGCCTCCTCGCTGGAGATGGCCAGCTGGTGGCGGAGTTGCCGCTTTTCGTTGCCCCGAGGATGGACAAGGCGGGGAAGCGGGTGTGCTGACCCCGCTCTCCGCTACTCGTGCGCGCGCGCCGAGCTACACTTTCAGCAACCCTGGCAGCGGCCGCCGCGTCGCGGAGGGTCAGGTGACAATCGTTGTGCTATTTCCCGGGTAACGGTCGTTACCCGGGGAGGGGGTCGGGCGGGGGGGTAACGGTAACACGGCGGCCGCGGCATGCACCCGCCAATCGCCTGCGTGCGCCACAGCATGTACGGGGGGGGGTTCAGGCCCCCCCCCAAAAACGATCGCCAGCCTCACCCAGTGGGTGGGGGGGGGGGGGGGGTTGGCCGGGGCAACGAGCGTTACCCTGGGGGAAAAAGATACAGAACAACAGAAACAAAAAAAAACGATCAACCGCTCGGGGCCCCTCCACCAGGCAACCAACCGGGCGATCAAGCGCCCAGCCCTCGTGCGCAGCCTGACCGAACCCGTCCGTGACAGGCCCCTTCCGCGACGACCTCTCCCACCCTCGAGGCTCCCCTCTGGCCGCCTGCCCACGTCCTGGAGCACGAAGGGTCGTCACGACAGGGGGTCGGTTCGATAGGCTCGGAGCCAGTCAGGTCGATGAAGCGCCCAGAGTGAAACGACTGCAGGAAGACGACACAACCGGGCATAGTTAGGTGGCAAATCATGGGAGCCTATTTCAGCACTTGTGGTCTTCGTCTTGTGCTATTTGGTGCTGTCTGGGGCGATTTAGCGTTGCTCAGCCCGGCGTGCGGTCCACGCACTGGCGGCTCATGTTACGGCAACGCCCGAGTTTCGAGGCGCGCCCGCCGCTGGCCCGCATGGACTGGAGGAAGGACTGGAGGAGGCACACGGTTTTTTTTGGTCGGCGGGGCGAGAGCGAACCTCTTCCGCTAAAGGCTAGGCGGGCTACGCACAGCTTTCGTTAGGGAGGCAGGGCACGCCTGGAGGAGGCACGCGGCGCCGCGGAAGCTCCAGAGCGCTCCAGAGCTCTCTGCAGCCGCTCCTCTCCGCCCCGCCCGCCCAGGGCGGCGGCCGGAGCAGCGCGCGGCGGCGCAGGGCACACAGCTCGCATCGCGGAGGGTTTGGGTCGCCCGGGCACTCGGGCACTGCAAATCCAGGAACTGCCTGCCTCGGAGAGGGTCGCTGCGCTCTCGCTGTGTACTCCGCGTGGTGCTAGCGTCGTGTGGGGTGCCATCTGCACGGTGGAAGCAGAGTTCGACATCAGAAAGTCGTCAGCTCCAATGCTCGAGCCGCTCCATCCCACCCACCCGCCCGCAACTTGATGGCAAAAGTCAACAGGCACAGTGACGCGAGGGCGCTTCTCGTCCGTATCCATGGCTCGGGCGGTCCAGTGCGACCGTGCTGACGACATCGGCAATGGCGACCATGATGACGGTGGTGGTGCTGATGACGAGGGCGACGACAACGGCAGTAGCAATAATGATGACGATGATGACGGCGACGATGGTGGTGGTGACTACGACGTGATGGTGATGGTGATGGTGATGATGAGGAGGAGGATGCTGATGCTGTTGTTGATGACAATGATGATGATGCTGATGCTGATACTGATGCTGATGATGGTATTGTTGATGCTGGTGACGATAAAGCAGACGATGATAATTATTGTAATGATGGTGATGCTGATGATGGTGGTGATGATGATGCTGATGACGATGAGGATGATGATGAAGATACTGATGATGATGAGGAGGAAGAGGACCATGAGAATGATGATAATGCTGGCGATGATCATCACGATGGTGCCGACTATCAGGATGAGGAAGTGCGCGGGCGCAGCAACTCTGACAGCTCTTATTGCAAAACACATGGCGCTCATGTTTACCGAAGACCTCGATTCTGAAATGCGTCGGGATCCAATTGATTTGCTATGGTTTTGACATGCGCGCGGAGACACAAGCGCATCCGGCATGGTTAAATTTGACTGAGTGGCAGAACCAGCTTCTCCTATAGAACACAGCGAGCGCGCGCAAATATTCCTGGCAGTGTTCTCACTGGGCATGCTCATGCTGACAGCGTTTGTCTAAAAGTCCGTTGGGCTGTACACTGGACATGTGCGGGCGCGTGGGGCGCGAAGGAAATCAGGTGATAGGGCTCTTACCAGACGCACTTGTTAGATCAACGCGTGCGCTCCGCACTGTACGAGCTGACGGGGATGACTGGGGGTGTCGATACCGGTCGAACTTTCAAACGAACGATCGGACAGAATGGATGGGGAAGACACTGCACGAAAAGCCGGGCACTGCAGCCAGTTACTTCACGCAAACAACTGCACTGAACACAATTTCACACATCACATGGCCCTGCGAGGGAGATATTCAGATCCGCATCCTGGAAACAGAAAGTCCAGCTGGCTCTGCCCCGCAACCTCACGCATTAAACGTGTGCATCCACATGGCTGTCTATGGGACCCCCTGAGCACGCGAGCGCTGCCCTCTCTTTAGAAGAGACGGTTTCTCGTTTGCGTCCGCCGGCTTCCGCCAAGCTTCCGCTGGCTTCCTTCGGACCAAGCTGCGCACTTTTCGGGCGGCCTCCGCCACCATTTTGCAGGCCTACGCCGAGGGCGAGATGAATACCTCGTCAGCGGGCGCGAAGTACTTGCTGCGCGGACAAATCCAGGGAAGTCCAGAAAACGTCCGGGGGAGACCCCAAATGTCTAAGGAAGCCTGGGGTGTGCCCCCTAAAAAATCAAGGTGATGCCCGAGGAAGTCCGCGGAGGTCCAGGAGAAAAGCTGCAAGCTCCACCGCGTCAACCAAGGCCATGTGCCAACTGATCACATCAACCCGTTGATCCCTCTAAGGCCGAGGCCCGTTTCTGGAATCCACTGCGTGGCCTCTGGAGCCCAGCCTTCCCATGCGGCGCGCCCAGACATCCGCCTTTCTGATTTTGCTTTTGCGCGGCCCACGGGTTCCAACCCCTTCGCCATGGATCCCTTTGTAAGGGCACCGGGCCCGAAAACGGGCCGCAGGGGCCGAAATCGCAGGAAAACGCCAGGACTGACAAAACATAGTGTCGAAACTATGAGCGCTGCGCGCGCCCGGAGCCCTCAAACCCGTCTTCTGCCGCGCTTCTGGGGCCAGGTCGAGCTGCGCGGGCCCTGGGGCCCGAATCCCAAACGAAAGCGCCTATGCGACGCCAGGATTTGAGTATCGTCTGACCGATCCCCATCCCCAGCGGCGTGGCCTGGGCCCCACTGGCC